TTCCATGTTTTAACTGGTGTGTGTCAGTTCGTAGCAAAGTTTAACTATTCTTAATTGTTGCTCGTTGCTCCAGTTTAGAGGCGCCTCCGTCACTGGACCAGATACCCTCAGAGGCCCAAGTGTGACGAGTCTTCCAGCCATGAAGACCTTTGTTTACCTGGCGGGAGTCCTCGCTGTGGCCGCCGCCCAGAGTCTTGGTAAGTCTCTCTTTAGCTTAACTTCGAGTACACCTTTCTCGAGCCACAACTTCTGGAGCATCTTTGTCTTTCGCCAATATATTAGTTGCAAAGTATTTAAATATTGAGAAGTTTTGTGTGAGTTACTTCGATATTTTGAGTAATTTTCAAGATGTCTTCTCGCTCCAATATCCTGAGGAGCGATGGAAACGTTTGAGCAGTGTTGGTAATGCTAGGCGTCCATTAGTGTTTATTATACTTATTTTTGATGACATAATCTTCTTTCCCCACCCGAAGTGTCTATAATACGCAGGAGTTGGACGAAACATGTTAATCTGAATCAATGGCTGCCCACGTAGACGCCACTGAGCTTCTCTGTAGCCTCGCGGTATGGCCTCCAAACCTTGGCTACCAAATGTCACTGTTTTAAGTGAGGGAAATAACCGATAAAGTAGACAACATACAGAGCTAAGATGGTCCCGTGTCAATGACATCTGCCCTTCCACGAACCTTCCTATGCTCGCTGGGGCGTTGGTAACACTTACTGCCACAATATCACTGGATAGTTTGACCTTAAGCTGTGCTGGTTAGGTTAGGTACTTTTCTCATGAACAACACGGGCTATTCATGCCCGTGTCACCTCTTGGGTGGCTTAATCTTCATCAATCAATCAACCGTATTCTACATGAAGTTGAAAGCAGTTCGAATCAAGTATAAACAGTTAGTTCATAAATATAAGTGAAAAATTCTTGTGCCTCTTATGTACAGCCTCTGGACCTCCTCAGGAAGTGATCGTGGGACTTATCACCCAGGCGTCCATTAAATTCCAGTTTAAGACCTCAATCGTTAACCAACTCTGCGCAAACTAATAAGTCAACCCAGTTTGTGGTCACCAGTACGTCAACCCACGTTTAGATCAACTCCCAGTGTCATCTTTATACTTGAGTAACGGTTAAGGGCGGCTTATAAAGATTGTCAAGTGGCAAGGATACCTTATTCTTAGGTTAAATGCCAAAGTCGTCATTTATTAAATGTATACAGTACTCCTTTGCTGGGCCATGACGTATAATCCCCAATGCTTCAAGTTCAACTACTTGGACTGAATGGTGGAGTGAAGGTCTCACACTCATAGACCTCACAAGTGGCAGTTCAACTACTTGGACTGAATGGTAGAGTGAAGGTCTCACACTCATAGACCTCACAAGTGGCAGTTCAACTACTTGGACTGAATGGTAGAGTGAAGGTCTCACACTCATAGACCTCACAAGTGACAGTGTTACCTCAATTAGGTAACGCTGCCAAGGGTGCCACTCTTGTGAGAGAGACATGTGCCAGCGGTGCCAGGTTACATAACCAGGTAAATTCACATTATCAGCTTGATGAAGAGGTGATATTATTTATCCCTCTGTTACGTCTCCCTCTTGTGGCGCCCTCTCATGCTGGACGTAAAGCCAAGAGAATGGATACAAATCTTACATGTCAGGCACAAGTCTCACCTATTCATGTCAATAGAATGGACATGAATTCAACAGAATAAAGTCAAATCAAATAGAATGTGCACAAATCCAATAGACTGAACAAATCTACTAGACTGGACAGTATTTCACTTGAAAACGTACTAAGAAGGATGAGAACGTTAAACGCAGGTATAAAATAACGTTCCACAAGCAGTGGGATTAAAACACAAACACAAGTTCTATAGCAAGACGAAGAGTGAGGGCTGACATGACTGAGGTGCACCACAGGCTATAACAAGGATATTAATAACATTTTAAACACATCAACACAAATTACAACACGAAACAGTGGATATAAATTGGATTAGTTTAGATTCAGGACAGATCTGGGCATATATATTTTTTTTTTGAAACTTGGGTTGTTCGTTTTAAGTATCAAATTTCCAGGTAATATAATAGCCGTGAGATCATTTGATTGTTTTAAGCACAGGACAGACATATATATGAATGAGTTTGGCTGGATATAAATAGGAGCTGTCTCGAAACGCATTCTGCATCTTCCCTTATTCTTATGTAATATTAGTTTAGTAGAAGCCAGAGACAGTAGAAGTAGAGGCTAGGGGGCCAGTAGAGGCCAGGGGACAGTAGAGCGCAGGGGTAGTAGAGGCCAGGGGACAGTAGAGGCCAGGGGACAGTAGAGGCCAGGGAACAGTAGAGCCAGAGGACAGTAGAAGCCAGGGGACAGTAGAGGCCAGGGGCAGTAGAGGCCAGAGGACAGTAGAACCCAGGGAACAGTAGAGGCCAGGGGCAGTAGAGGCCAGAGGACAGTAGAAGCCAGGGGACAGTAGAGGCCAGGGGCAGTAGAGGCCAGAGGACAGTAGAAGCCAGGGGACAGTAGAGGCCAGGGGCAGTAGAGGCCAGAGGACAGTAGAGGTCAGGGGCAGTAGAGGCCAGGAGCATTATAGTGCGGTATTCTCAAGGTCCCGGATATGATACAATCGATGCCACCTGGCGGCTCCTCCTTCAAGTGGGTGACGTATGGACTGGTGATGCAAGGTGGTGGTGGTGTGGTAATGGAAGTTATGGTTGTGGTGGCATGTTTCAGGGAACTACATGAAACCAAAGTCTATAATGGGATATTGCCAGGTGGCATGAGGAGTTGAGAAGCAAACAATCAAGTGGGCGGTAAGACTTAATGGCCCACAGTAAAGGAATAACAAGGACTGGCATCTGGTGACTCCCTGCCCTCACTACGCGGACCTGATGGCCCGGTAGCCGCCTGGGCCACGGAGACGGCTGACCTGCGTCCTTCTCACTCAACAGGACTTATTATTATTAACATCTTTATTGACAAAATTAATTACAATTTTGCCTAATATGAGGATTAGGATGACCTGATATGAATATTAGGACTAATATTACGACGGCGCATAAAACGGAGGAAAGTGTCCTGAAAGATATTATTAATAGGAACGTTATCCCTACAGACAAAAATCAGAAAATATAATTGACAAATTACTACTAAAACAAAAAAACGGCCAACCAACTCATGAAAAACTCCCCTGACACCAAACAGAACGCCTTGAAGGAAACCAACGTCGTCTAAGCTTTCACATGCCCACTTGGGGACTGTAAGCCCCAAAGAACTCAGTATATAGGCAAGACAACAACGTCTCTTTCTAGGCGATTAGCAATGCACAAACAACAGGGCTCCATCAAGGAACATATAATCTCTTCTCACAACCAAACCATCACCAGAGAAATCTTAACAAGCAACACAGAAATCATTGATAGATACAGCGATAGCAGGAGACTCGACATCAGCGAGGCACTACACATCAAAAAGTCAACACCAGCAATCAACAGCCAAATAACGCATAACTATATTCTACCCACTTCAAGACCCCGAACCAACATAGAAGCAGCAAGAGAAAGTATGGGCCAATAGGCCTTCTGTAGTTACTTCCATTCTTATGTTTTCATACCCAATTTATAGCCACCTCACCCACAAAACTTTTGTGTCATATCCCCTCACCCAAAACAAATATAAGCATGATATATGTTATGTTTGAACCAGTCTTTGAAAATGTAAGAAGCATTATGAAATGCTTTTAGGCGTCAGACCAAAAATAAAAATGTAAAAAATTAATTGCGGAGAGTTAATTTTTCAACGTAAGAAATATTGAGAAGATTCGTGTTAGAATGATTTATCTTACCCTTTTGGTCATATTCAACAACATATGTTTACAAGAAAGACTGCTACCTAAATATACTATACATATTAATTATATATATATATATATATATATATATATATATATATATATATATATATATATATATATATATATATATATATATATATATATATATATATTTATATATATATATATCACTGAAAACTCACACCCCAGAAGTGACTCGAACTCATACTGCCAGAAGCAATGCAACTGATGTACAGGATCCCTTAACCACAATCTTGTGCAGTTTTAGATTCAACTACTGGGAACAGAAAGTTGCCAGTAGCACAGGCTATGGTGAGCCCGGAGTGGGCTTATCTGTCACAGGAGCGGGGCTGTAACTCTGTGACCGCACTGCTGCTGATAACTGTAAGTGAAAGTGTAAGTTGTAAACTGTATCAAATGATGTGAAACAAAACAATTATTATTATTTGTATACCTGTGATAATGTCAGGAAACAGGAGTGGTTATCGTACTGGTCAAGTGACGGAAGAGTCAATACGGGAATTGGAAGACCTGGTTGGGTTGCGTCAGGGAAGGACTGCATCAGGGCAAGGCTGCGTCAGGGCACAGTTGTGTCAGCGCAAGAGCAGCATCAGGGTAAACTGCCCCAGGGCAGTTGCGTCAGGGCAGGGTTACATCAGAATTGGGTTATCGATGTTATCAATCCAGCCTCCGCCCCCCCCCCACACACCCCTCCACGAAAGAAACACATCGTCATGAATGCAAACACTACAAACACCCGGACGTTCTAACCTACTTATCTGCCTTAAATTTTTAACAATTGAAATACAATTTGAGAGAATGTTCAAACACGTAAACAGTCTCGAGCAGCAGCTACGCCAGGTATCAGATACTTCATACAAGGGACCCAAGAGCTGGACACCAAGACAAAGCCCCTAGCAAGCACAAATTGCCAGACGGTATACAGGAGCAACAAAGTCTCAGCAGGTGTGGTGGGCCATGTGGCCATGGCCACTACACGAGCACACAAGAGTATTCCCGCACCTTCTGGCAGCTTACTGCTGCTGTTTTCCCAGTCCCAGTTTCGGCGTGCAGCGTCTCTATATCACCCTTCCTTCTGTCTCATATCGCCGTGCGACGGGTGCAAGAGATAACGAGGAGGCTATAAAAATGGAAGGGAGAGCCCTCCCGCTCCATCCATCTTCCATCACCGGCCCAGATAACATTGACCTGAAGGAAAGCAACCTGGAATAAGAACTGGACGTGATGAGAGTCTTCGTGATCCTGGCGGCGATTGTTGCTGCCAGCGCCGCGGATCTTGGTGAGTCACGAGCCTAATAGACCCAACAAGAAAAGTGTTTAGTGATAGATCAGCAGCAATATTTTTCTGGATGTGTTATTGAATATGAAGGAAAGGGTTAGATCATTTATTCTAAAATGAATCTTATCATTTTTTTCTAATGTTCTTCTTTACTTGTTAAGGTAGTCGAAAAAATAACTCCATGGTTCAATTCAATGGGACTGACCTGATTCGCTAATGAATTTTTTTGCTCTGAAGTGCTACGAGGTCATTCTCAACCCAAGATTACTATTATAGACGATCTCGTAGTGCTTTGTAGCTCGTGATGCGTGTAATATATGCAGACTAAACTGTCATGATGGAGGTGAGAGAGACTGCTCTCCTAAGTGTGCTTGATGAGTCCTGAGCCTCAACACTTGGCCAGCTCTGTTGAGGTGCTTAATTAGTGCAGACTAAACTGTCATGGTGGAGGCGAGAGGGAAAACTACCAAGTGTGCTGGTGAGTCCTGGCCAGCTCTGTGATGGTGGAGGCTGCTCCTGCTGCTGGTGGAGAGGAGAGAGTCAAGTCTTGCTCTTGATCCCAGACAGACTGAATGATGAAGAAGGTTTAGAATTGAGGTCAATAGGAAATGCTACTGTGTCAGTCCATTCAGTGCACCGTTGTGGACACGATGGTGACGAGCAGATACGGATGAGGGCAGTACGGTGTTACTGGCTGATGCGATATTTATATAACAGATAATTAATGTAAACACTGATTATCTGAGGGGATAAATAAATAAGAAATGACCTCATTAAGGATTCGTGCAGTAATGAAGAGAAACATTTTCTGCTTAATACTGTTTCTGGCTGACCACATGTCAGTAAGGTGCGCAGGAGGGCCTGCGCGAGGCATTCTGTGTAATTCTTTCATTGTTGCAGATGATCCTCCATCCCCGAGCTTCTTTGTCCTGGTTCTCTGATTAGCCAGTGTTGAAGGGTAGTGAAGGCAGTGGGCAGATTAAAAGCACAAGGAATGTATCAGTGTCAAATATACTCCTATGATATTGTGCTGCCCTCAAGTTTTCCCACACCCTTCCTGTTGTGATGGTGACCCAGAGGGTCATCACAATATAATTTTTATTCACTATATATTCTATTTTTTTCACAGCTCTACACTATTTTTTGACAGCGGTGTGAATGATATATACCGGTGTGTAGTGTTTTGACCAATGAGACTGAATTGGCGCTTCGTCGTTACAAAGCGCCAATTCATTCATAATTTCATTTATTATTATGACAACAATAAACGCGGCGTTGCCATATTGCAGGTTCCTCGAAACCGAGAGGGGGGGTAAAGGAGTACTTTTCCTGGACTGTACTGCGCATATTCCCCACCTATGCTAGTCCGACCCCTCGCCCCTCACTGTGACTGACTCCTGTTACGTGTTCCCATACCCTTATCAGTGCCCTTACTCCATCCCCCCCCCCACCCCCACCCCCCTCCCTGCCTCTCAAGTTTGTGCAGCAACCTCTCTCAAAGTGGTGTCAAAGTGTTTGTGTGTGTATTTACTAGATGTGCTTGCAGGATCGAGCTGTTAGCTCTTGGACCCCACCTTTCTAACTGTCGGTTGTTTGATGTCTTGACTCTCGACTTATTTTTCCTCTAATCATATCTACTACATTTATTTCACACACACACACACACACACATTTCCCGGGTGCAGCTGTCTAACTCCCAGGTATCTATTTATTGCTATGTCAACATAGGGACTCAGTTGAAAGAAAATCTGGCAATTTGTTTCTGCCTCGACCGGGAATCGAACCCGGCCCTTAGGACTACGACCCCAGAGCGCTGTCTACTCGGACCTGTGTGTGTGTGTGTGTGTGTCTTGACAGAACAACTCCTTAAAAACATATCCTCCCGCAGGCTACGTTGAGAACTTCAAGCAGACTGCCAGTGGTGACGGAACTATCACACTGGAATGGGACTATGTCAGTGGCGACGAGAATTTCCCGATTCAGAAGTACTCCCTTGAATCTGATGACTCCATCAACACTGTCGGGTGTGTGGCAAGTCACTGCTCCTACACCTACAGCTACCTCCAAGCCTGCAAGGAGTACACATTCGACCTCACCCCCATCTTCGTCGACACAGTAAACGGCGGAACAGTTAACGGCGATAAAGTTACAACCACCGGATTTGCCAATGATAACCGTGAGTTTTACAATATTTACCGTTTAACAGTAGCCATGAACACTGTAGACGATCATCTTAGTTTCCAACACTAAGAATGAGAGTCTATATGTTTTGTATCTTAAACTTTAGGAACTGTTTCAGCGTGTTCATGAGTGCAAATACTGTGTAAATGTTCTAATCTGTATGTTTTGTTAAAGTACAATGCTAGACTATAGATTTAGTACAGCATTTTGCTTATTTAGTAAAACTGTATACTGTAGATTCCATCCAGTTTACATCGATACTAAATGCATGACTCTATGCAATGTCCCACGCTTGAATATGTTTAAAAATGTATGTAATATTCGACGTTTAAATGTCCAAAATGCACTGAAGATACTCCAGTCCGTGTCCAAACCAAATGCATTCTTAATCTAACCTAACCCAAATATAAATTTACTTCATACTAAGCAGCCGCCTGGAAAGGTTAGGGTGATTTAGGTTAGGCTCGGTGAGGACGGGTTTAGTTGAACATCTTAAAATGAAGGATATTACGTAAAGTTTTGAACTTTATTAAAAATAAACGGGACGAGCACTAAGTGGAAGGTGAAATTTTGCTTAAAGTAAAATTTGGTACAAATGTTTTTAGTCCATTTTTGTACTTAATTCAAAGTGGACTATAAGAACTGTATGAACGTTGCAGGTGAACATTTGTGTTTCATTTTGTAATTTTATTTTCAACTGACACAAAAATCCACTTATAACCTGAACAAATCCACAAGGGCCGTGATGAGGGTTTGAACCTACGTCCAATATGATCCCAGATGCGCCTTAGTCGACTGTGCCATGGCATGAAATATGTATTTATCGTGTATTGAAGTATCGCGTATATTTAAGTAAGGGCGAAGAGGTAGAACATTTGGTTGACAGAGGCCGGGTGCAATGGAGTAAATGTGTAAAGTCCTGGTCTGTGCTTCGGAGAAGCTGCGGAAGCCTTGTGAGGGCAGTAACACCCCAGGTTGCAATTCTTTTAACCATGTTGTGGCGCAGTCAACTAAGGCGCGTCTGGGATCATCCCGGACGTAGGTTCCAACACTCATCACGGCCCTTGTGGATTTGTTCATTTGATGCATCACGCTATTGTGATTTCTGTGTAACTTATAACCTGTCTTGCATCTTACCCCTCATCTGGGAAGTACACTTGCATAAACTATTCTGTCCCACCACTTCCATCCATCATCAACCGCTTCTCAACTTTGCAATTGATCACACACACACACCCGTAAGTTCCTCTATACCTGACGCACCTCGTAACCCTCACGTACAGCTCCCAGCGCCGCCAGCAACCTGAGTATCGCCGGAGAAGACGACACTGGTACAACCCTACAGTGGGACGCCCCCGACGCTAACCCAGACTGTGTCAAGTACTACGAGGTCTGCGCCAGACTCGACGGACAGTCGGACACTGAATGCCATGATGTGAGTGAGAAAAGGTGGCGACGGAAGAGTGCAAAGTTGTGAGGCCAGGTAATGAGGGAGAGCCAGATGGTGAGGGAGAGCCAGGTGGTGAAGCAGTGGTTAGTGTTGAGGGAGAGGACGAAGAGAGCCAAGAGGGGTGTGAGGTGGAGTATAAGGGGTGTAAGATGATGAAAGAATATTGTGGATAATAACTGCAGAATCAGTCTCTGGATAGTTCCACTTGAAGTTTTAAATGCCTTTCAAGGATAGTAACTTTCTGAAACTAGTATTATTGACAGGTGTACGACACTTCTGTCAAGTTGGCTTCCCTGCAAGCCTGTGGCTACTACCACGTCAAGGTGACGCCTGTGACGCCCACGGACGCAAGGGGACCCGAATTGGATGATACCGTCACCACCATGGATGGAAGTAAGTGCCCACACATTACCTGTACTTGCTTCCTTATAATAATATATTTACTTTTGACTATAATTTGACCACGTACATTAAAATTCGCACATATTTTAGATAATTCCTTATCATTAATTATGGGGAATCAGTTTCGTGAGACATATCCCAGGGAGGTCAATTTCCAGTGACGGCCTCTGAGCCTACCTGAGGGTATAATTATGACGACTTTCTGTAAGTCAGTATTGAATAACTTCCAATCATTCCTTGTTGCTGACATGTGGCTTGTCAAGTCAACAATCTTGGGGACAAAAACTGCATATAACTTTTAGAATAACAAATTATATATTTCCCACTAAATCTTAATTATGAAAACACCCTCAAATTAAGACAGCAGTTTAATCTCAAAGGTACTATTTTATTTTAAATCCAGTGTGCTTGTGTAAAGCCTAAACCATTTGGCAATGTCCAATATATATATATATATATATATATATATATATATATATATATATATATATATATATATATATATATATATATATATATACACACACACACACACGAGTGAAGGGTTTTATTCTGGAGGTTCTCTTGCACAGCTCCCGGGCCCCCTGAGGACGTGGTAGTGGGTCTCGTCACCAACACCACCGTCGACCTCAAGTGGAACGACCCGGCCGTCAACCCTCTCTGCGCGGTAGAGTAAGTCCAAGTGCTTCCTTTTATACTCGATTGGTCTTCCTTTTATTCTGATGCCCTTCACCCTATCATGCCCGGATGAACAGCTAGAAGGGCTGCTCTAGATATATTACACTTTCAAATGACCCAACACTAAAAATGATTACGTTAATACGTAAATTATTATCTGTATCGTTCAAATTACAAAGTAGGTGAGGTGTTGTTGTCCAGGTGAAGATATCTCCTGACAGATGAAGTGTTATAAACATTATTGTACTATGGTCGACTGCCGAGGCCTGTAACTAGGGTGATTTATCAAGGAATTTCAAATACTAAAGTGAATTGCCAAGGATGTCTTATACTGATGTGAACTGTCAAATACATTAGATATTGGTCCTTCAGGCCGTGGACCTTCTTCCTAAGGACCATTATGCAACCTTAAACTACGACAGATTATTCAATATTGCCACACTGTTCCTGGAGTACAATTCTTATTACCACGACATGTTCTTTGTTTAGTGAAACTTTTCCGTTTGTACATAATGCTCCCTCGTACGACTAACTCCTTCTACTGCATCACACTGCTGCCCTAAAACCTTTATTGTGCTGAAGTATCCCTCCAGACTTATCACTCACTGATCATCTTTGTGCACTTACTCTCCTAAAGAAAGAATGTCATCTGGTGCAGTGCTCAACGATAAAAATGTACGCTTACTCTCCTTAAAACTCCTCCCAACATACCCCTGATACCCCATTCGCCTTAAAACTCCTCCCAACATACCCCTGATACCCCATACCCCTTAAAACTCCTCCCAACATACCCCTGATACCCCATACCCCTTAAAACTCCTCCCAACATACCCCTGATCATCTTGCAATTAAATGTTCCCCCAGATAATGTCCTTTCCATGCCCCATGAATGTTTTTATCCACAGCTACTCCATCACGTATGGTCCCGTCACCACGCGAGCCAGCCGCATCTTCTCCCTGTCTGAGGAGACCTATGACCACCACGCAACCCTCAGCCCCCTCGAAGGCTGCACCAACTATTCCATTTCAATTTCGTCCGTCAGCAAGTCGGACCTCGAGAGTGTTGCCGTTACAAGATATGCTGCTACCAAAGAAACTGGTAAGGAATTATCTTGAAATTATGTTGAAATTAAACGAATAATTGAAAAACGTGCAAAAAAAGAGGAGTTAGAATATATAAACAATCTTATGCACTTGATGTATGTGTATATCTATACTGTAACTGTTTATCTATACTTTTCATACGTGTGTATCGTTTATCTATACTATATCTATACTTTTGACTGTCAAAAGTTGGAGGCTACTTTGAGTCTCTAACCCAAATTTGCAGAGGGAAAATGGTCTGAGTTTTGGGACTGACATTAGCTGGTTGGAGTAGGCCTAAGTTAATTGTTTCAAGAAATATTAGCAATTATAGACACCTCCATCAAATGTTCATGGATTGTAAGTGTGAAATATATGGAGTATAATTTCTATAAATTTTCCATTAACTAATATATTTTCTGCGACCCATACAGTTATTTCTGTGCTTAATAAGAAATTTTCCATTAGAAAGAGGGAAGGGAAAGAAGAGGGGGGGAAAACGAAGGGAGATCTAGGGAATGGGAACGAGGGTATCAAGGAAGTGGGGAAAAGGGTGGGGAAGAGATCTAGGTGTAACCTGACAACCTCAGTATATATAAATGGAAATGTCTGTCTGTTGGAGATTGGAGGTGGTGGGGAGGGTAGGGAAATGATGGTGACAGGGGAAGAAGGAGAGACGAGGTGGGAGAGAGGCATGTGAAGTATCTCTAGATAGTGGATGCATGCATAAATCATTACAAAAACTACTTTACGAAATAAAAAATTTAAATCCTCTTAGTGTAGTCTGAAGAGTAGACTGCTTCCTCTACTTCAATAACGAGACAGTCGGGTCTGATATCTCAGTTTTCTTCAAGAGAAAAATTTCTTCTTCTATTTCTTCAGTTTTCTTCTTCTATTTCATTACCACAAGGTTATTGATTGGGGAAAACGGCAAGTACCTGTTGAGAGTCACTCACATCAGTGTACGTAGAACAGATTCAATGATAAGGGATAAAAACAGTACTAACAATGAGTGGGAAATTACTGGTTCACTGCACATAATCTAGCCTAGCTCTTAAGTTATTTTTAATAACTATTGTATGGGGGTTTTATTAATTAAATATAACATTAAGTTATATCAGTTAAGAAAGATTAAAACTGATTAATAGTTTATATTTAAGCAAATATTACTTAAAAACTATGCTAGTGACTAATAATTAATATTACTAATTATAAACTTATTCAAGATTTACATTGATTATTTATTATTTACTGATAATTAATGGATTAAGATAATTATTATTATAGATGCTTACTTATTTATTGAGGCTTTCCCCACTTTATAAAAACTTAAAGTTATTAGGAATGATTAAGGCTACAGTTACATGCAAATTGGCAAATTTAACAAGTAATTTAGATCAATTTTATTTATTAACAATTATAATGTAGTACAGAAACTCATTTTATTACTCGCCAACATTTGCTATTGTTAGCATTGATTTCTTGCATTTAGCAAAACTGTTTCCTATTTAGTCACTAAGGCATTTTATCCTGGTATATTCAGGACAATTATCGCATCAATAAACTTAATATAATTTCTAAGATACTAAAGACCAAGAACATAGGATGAGTTCATAACTGATTTGCCCCTCGAGACCCTGAGATTCCCAATGTTCCTGACAGAGCCCCTGCCAGCCCCTTACATTGTGGTGGACCCGGCTGACACAGACGCCATCAACGTACACTGGGGTGAGGACGAGAACGATAATTGCGCCGGATACTTCATCATCTGCTGGAACGACGGTATTCACGCGGTCGACACTTGTGAGAATGTGACGGACTCTGCGGGTTTCACCATCACCGACCTGCTGCCCTGCACCGAATATGCCGTCACCATCACCGTTGTCTCTCCCGGAGGCATCAGGAGCGTCGTCGTCGGCAACTCCACCTCTACCCTAGACGTCCGTGAGTCTATCCTTACTGAACCTATTTAATACAACTCTATTCTAAATACAGCTGCTGCTCTTTTCTACCAACAACACTTCTTCACACACCCATTCTCTTCTATCCAAAACCATTCTCTTTTATCCACTCACCTTCCTGTTCTTAAAGGTTCCCTGTTTTCCCGAAGTTACAATTTACCCCACATCCACATTTTTATACATACACGTGTTAAATTGATTAGTTATACCTCTAATACAGAATAAACATTATAAGCTGATCCTTCTGTAAATCACTAATGAATGAATGTGTTGTTTCAGGTCCTGAACCAGTGAAAAATCTGCAAGTGACTGAAGTTTATAAATCTACGATTTCCATAACATTTGAGCCACCAGAGACCAACAAGCAATGCATTAAAGGGTACGCCATGCTAGTCACCGACCTGAACACCACGAGTGTGACATCACGAACCATGTCAGAGATGAGAACGTCAGAGCCCATAGAGGAGTTTATCACAAATCTGGAGCCCTGTACAAACTACCGGATCATGATGGCGGCCGTCTCCCCGACAGGACTGATGTCTCCTCCGCAAGAAACATATACCAGGACTACGGACGATATACCCAGCGAGCCACAACAATTCGGGCTGAATGGAGTCACCACCAGCTCCATCTCCCTCCAGTGGTACCAACCTGAAACTAATAGCCGATGTGCCAGTCAGTACGTACTCACTTGGAAAGACAGCGCGGGCACAACTGTTGGTAATGAGACAATTGTTGATCCATCAAGCTTCAAAGTTTCTTACACAGTTGAAGGCCTCAACCCGTGCGAAACCTACACATTCAGTCTCATTGCCAAGTCACCCGCCGGCGAAAGCAATGCTGCAGAGTTCTCGCTCCAGACTCTGTGTAGCTAGATTGTATAGGCTTGAACCCCGGGGACCCTAGGCATCACCGCCAGCCCAGCGCTGCAGCGACAATCAGTTCACTCACGAGTTCTCCAGACATCCATTCACAAGTGCTCCAGCTGTTTCATTCACCACCAACTCCTCCAGAATCAAGAATTTATGAGAGTCTGTCCACTAACTTAGACCAATTATTTTAATGCCCCTGCGTTATCAGTAACTATGGTTACTTTATGATTGAATATCTTTTAAGTTGTGTTAAGTTTTTTCTTAAAGGTTTATTCTAAGTATTTGTTATATAACTTTAACAAAGATGTGCAATTAACTGGCTGCATTTACCAATGACAAATATTTAAATTAAATAAGAAACACGGGTAGAGTCTGCTTTCCGGTAAGCAAATGACGTTAATGTTAGGTTAGCAAGGTTTTCTTCCCTAATGTTGGTAAGGTATCTTTGTAACTGTTTACACAACATGGCTGTAAATGTTGGAAGGGCAGGGTTGTACATACACCAGAGACTGTTTGAACAGATCAGTGTTGACAACAAAATTAAGACACACAAAGTTAATTGCATATTAAGAGCAAAACATCATATTCAATAAAGCCTACTCTCACCTTGGTGTTTATCTACATCATCTGGAAGTATGAGTGTGAGTATAGACTACATACTTTACTGTGTTTATTCACCTTCCCACTAATGTCACGAACAATAGTCTGATTCTATCATTTGTTCTTCATTAAATACTTTACATTTAGCTGCGATTAATAAAACGATTCGAAACTATATTCTACAAAAGATCAGCAATATAGAAAGATTGTCAGATCACAATAAGTATTAATGAATTGTGACATAAAATCTTTCCTTATCCACTAGAGTGCGACTTATGTCATATGACATACGAGTTTATTCAAGGTAAATGCTGCTTGTATTGTATTACATTTCTCGCTAAATAAATTGATGTAAATCTAGTTCTACTTATAAACCCCTTAATTAATTAACAACATTTGACATCTCTGGCTATTATTACCTAATAAAATGACGAGCCCCAATAAACAATAATTAATTAAAATAATTGTGGAGCATGTGAAACCATCACGCAGAAAAATATATTCTGTATTAAGTTTGAGACATTTTATTTTTATTTTTATTCGATCATCCATATTTATTAGAACGCCCACAAGTTAGGCGTGTCTTGAATCCTACATGTCGGTAAAAGTGAAAGGTAACTTTTTATCCAATTATGAACTTTATCCAAGTACAGTATTGATATCAATACCGTATGTTGCACGCTTTTACGCTAAAACACTCTTTATTAGAGTAAATTACTTGAACGACATGGAAATAAAGAAATTAGCCGTGTACCATATCATTCTATATAGGTGTGATAGGTATTAACTCGATAATTCTTGGGACGTTTACACCAAGAATGTAATATTAAAATTCTTTAAAATATTTTGTATTATGTACTATGTGACAGCTATTGAATTAATGTCAATACATAATTATTTGTGTAGTGTATGGTATTGTGAGCTCCTTGAAGGCCTTACATTAGAGAAGGGTGGAAATAGCCTAAGCTACTTGGCCCTTTTGGATGTACTTTATAACAAACTTACTTGAACTTGAATATAAACAAATTCTGCATTATTCAAGGTGTATATACTGTACTGTCATTGTTAACTTTTGTATTTGTAACTTGCTTCCAGAGTAGAAACCCTTAAAATACTTGTTGTTTTCAAATATTTTACGAACTGCGCTTAGTGGTGAACCAGGGCTGAGAGATTCGTGCACAGCAAGTAAATATTGACACTTTTTAGGTAGCAAACATCGCGTTTTTGTTTCAGAGTCCCCACAGAGATTAGCAGTGTTGCTTGTCTCACAGTGATGCCTGTCTTTCAGTGTTGCTTGACTCACAGGATCAACAGTGTCGCCAGAGATAGATCCCGATAATTGATTCATCTGCATGAGTACAATCATACTCATCCTCCCTTGCCTTACAATACCTGTGAGGCATCATCATAGTTTACAGTAGCATTTTAAATTATATAGGGATTAATCTGTATTGTTATGATTTTGAATATATAGACAACTGATCATAACGCGTTTGTTATGTCAAGAACAAATACAATACCCAGTACTGTGTTGCAGTTTTGAAGCAATACAACATCCACTACTGTATTACTGTCTAAGAGGCAACAATACAATACTCTCTGCAACATTTCATGTATGTTTAGCACTCTACAAGTATATCACTGTTAGTTGTAAAACAATTAACCTTTACTATCACACTTCCATGTGACGCCAAGGAGGCCTGGTCGACGACCGGGCCGCGGGGACACTAAGCCCCGGAAGCACCTCAAGGTAAGGTGACACTGGTCGTGGCGGCGGCGTCTCCAGCCCGCCTCACGCATTTCCACGCCCATCCGTCAACATCCGCAATACCTAGATAATTATTAGAGGCTATAATGCACCGATATGAAGGTCCGGATAATTTGGCGTTGGACAGGGATCGCCTTACACAAATTTGGTGACACTTTCGCGCATTGAAACTGCAGGTGTAACCCTGGCTAGGGTTGTCGAGCGTGTGGGCGGCTGCAGCAACTTTTTTTTTTTATCTTTATTTAAGAAAATACAATATAAATTACATATACTAGAGACAATGGGGCGTGTCATGTTCCTAGGGTTGCATTTACCCAACTATAAGAGATATTACTAGATTCGTTTAGTCTGTGGACACCTAAAATAATTTGCATTTACTGTTAAGCACATTTTTTTTTAATTTGCAGTCACCCCTAGATCACTATTTTATTATTGAAATTTAATTGTTAAGAAATTCAATAGCCTCATTTTTAACGACATATTTGCTGTGGTTAAATTTTAATACACTTCCCAATTACTTCAAGCCTGTTAGGCAATAAATTGTATCATTAAACTGTTATTTTTTATATATGAATACTTTGTGATCTTAAGTGATAATTGGGAATTATTAATTATTACTTCAAATAGGTTACGCCCTCCTGATCTAATTGTCACTAAGCTCCCATTGTTATCGGAGGAGAACCATTGTACACGGATCACTATGCTGACATACTATGAGGGATCTTCCTCACTATATACAGCAACAAGAGACAAAAACAAACTATTTAGCACGGGTGGAACACGACCAAGGGGACACAGGTGGAAACTTAGTACCCAAATGAGTCACACAGACACAGTAGAAAGATTTTTTTCAGTGTCAGAGTAGTTAACAAATGGAATGTATTGAGCAGTGATGTGGTGGAGGCAGACTCCATACAGTTTCAAATGTAGGTTTAATAGAGCCAAGTAGGCTCAGCAGTCTGTACACTAGTTGATTGACAGTTGAGAGGCGGGACCAAAGAGCCAAAGCTCAACTCCTGCAAGCACAACTAGGTGAGTACTCACACACCCACCCGTTGGTTCCCATCAGTGCAGCAGCAAGATGAGGGACAATAAGGCCTCTTGTTGCCATGAGACATTACTTCGCCAGTACACTAAGGCGAAACTCCTGTATCACCTCGAATAAAATAGATAATTGTGAACGTTCCCAAAGCATACATTTTGAGAGATGGCAATGTTGCCCTAGAAGGTACCATGTTTTACCTGGGTTGTCAGTTTGTAGCGAGGTTTAGAGGCGCCTGCGTCACTGGACCAGATACCCTCAGAGACCCAAGTGTGACGGGTCTTCCAGCCATGAAGACCTTTGTTTACCTGGCGGGAGTCCTCGCTGTGGCCGCCGCCCAGAGTCTTGGTGAGTCTCTCTTTAGCTTAACTTCGAGTACATCTTTCTCGAGCCACAACTTCTGGAGCATCTTTGTCTTTCGCCAATATATCAGTTGCAAAGTATTTAAATATTGGGAAGTTTTGTGTGAGTTACTTCGATATTTTGAGTGATGTTCAGGATGTCTTCTCGCTCCAATGTCCTGAGGAGCGATGGAAACGTTTGGTAATGCCGGGCGTCCTTTAGTGTTTATATTACGCAGGAGTTGGACGAAACATGTTAATGAGTCAATGGCTGCCCACGTAGACGCCACTGAGCGCCTCTGTAGCCTCGCAGTATGGCGTCCAAACTTTGGCTAACTAATGTCACTGTTTTAAGTGAGAGAAATGACCGATAAAGTTGTCAACATACAGAGCTAAGATGGTCCCGTGTCAGTGTCGTCTGCTTTTCCACGAATCTTTCTATGAGTCTTAAGGGTTCGTCAGTTACTTGTAAAACTTCTCCTTATCAAAGTAATGGCATTTTGTTTCAGGAAATAATTGCAAGTTGAGCTTATGAAAAGTCAGGCCGTCCTCAGACCTAATCCACTACCATGAGATTCCCTCACCCTTAAACCACCTAGATAATTATCTAGATATTTGTGATGCTCAGAAAGCATATTACGGTGCCATTAATAGTTTACATTTAAACTGGCAAATAAATCTTTGTCGTAGAGATTATTCTTAAGTTATAACTTTAATATAATATAAATAGTTCAGAATACAAAATAGTATGTTGAAAACGTTTTATTTTAAGAATTTAGTTTACTGTAAACGGTATTCATGGGCACACTGAAATAGTTTTCGAATTCCATATTTCACATTTTCGTCAATAATACATCGTATTAACGTAACCATATGTAATGAAACCTAACCTAACCATGGATATATAGTAGATAATAACACAAATTTCACAATCCATTTCCATGAAGGGATCTCCTCTTTGAGGACAGGTTGAGGGGTCGCATCGTCTGTTCTGAACATAAATTTGCCTTATAATGACATTATACTTAGTAAGAGGTTGTGAACTGCCTGCCACACCTAAGATGGTCGTGACGCCAAATAGAAGGGAAGGCCTCAGGGTAAATCCACAGCAGAGACAAGACCACTGATGTTGCAAATTTACTTGATAATCTCTATTTTATTGAACCCTGAGATGTATGTGTATGCGAAAGTGAGGATGTTATCATTTGATGATCTGTTTTAGATAACTGTTTACAAGAAAGTTATTCCCCTTCTCTAATTTAGCCCCAACTGATGCCTTCGTACCTTGAGTAAGGCACAAGACAGAACCCACTTCACCTGGAGACACGAAACATGTCCCAGACCCAAACTCCTCACCTCACCTTCCTCTACACTCCACAGGCAACATCACAAGCTTCCTGCAGATCAGAAATGGTGACGGAGAAGTTACAATGGAGTGGCGCTTCGTGGAGGGCGACCCAGCATACCCGCTCCTCAAGTACACCCTTGTGACTGACAGCGATGTCTCCTCCGACGTCTACTGCATGACCACTCTCTGCTACCACACCGTCGACAACCTGCAACCCTGCGTCACACACACGTTCGACCTCGTCCCCATCTTCAACGACACCACGACCGGCGGAACGCTTGAAGGAAACAACGCTACAACCACCGGATTTACGAAAGATGTCGGTGAGTCTTATTACATCTGTTGCTTGTTAGTTGATGGGCATTGGTGGCACATTTGTAGCGTAGTGTTCAACACAGATCACAATCGAATAGTCCTGCGTTCGATTCTACTGCAGGGAATAAGTACACAGTTGACAATCTTTACTAGTTTTAGCGGTGGATGTGCATGATACTTGTCAGACACGGTGCAGGGTTGGAGGGGTATCATTAGCTCCTACACTGCACATAATATGGGTATTGCCGAGGATGGCTTCTTGCTGGGGCGATGGTGACTCTCGCTCCATGATAGCACTGGATAGTTTGATTATAAGGCGTACTGGTGATAGCGAGTCTCTCATGATCTTAATGCAGAAGGTCGCGTTTAATTATACAATGTTTGGCCCGAATTCATGGGTTGGTCTTGCATTCCCCCCCCCCCCCCCCACCCACACATCCCCGCCTGATAGAGGGGGGGGGTGAAGAAGGAGTTGAGATGAATGATAATCAAGGGTTACATATTAGCTTGAACATTAACGGTATTGAAGTTCAAAGCAGTTCGAATCAAGTATGAACAGTTTATAAATATAAGTGAAAATATATTCTTATGCCTCCGTGTACAGTTCCTGGACCTCCTCAGGACGTGGTCGTGGGACCCATCACCCAGACGTCCATTCAAGTCCAGTTTAACACCTCCATCGTCAACCCACTCTGCGCCGACCAGTAAGTCAACCCACCTGTGCCCCACTAAGTGAATAATTAAATAACTAATTTTTATCGAATGTGATTTATAGAAATCCATACAGGAAGTTCTTTTATCGAGAGGCAACAAAAGTTGCCTCTATACGGAGGTAAATTGCCAAGTACGTCCTTGTCAACTGTCATTACCATTTTTATTCTGGTGGAAACTGGCAAGAGCAATGCCGTTTAATGTAAAAATCGATAATTTCCTTCAGTATATATGTTTTTATACGTGTGACCTTGATTCTTCTAAAGAAGTCGTCGTAGTACCCATTGATTCCCCTATATACAAGTGTCCTCCCAAACATCATCCTGATCTTACCTCATAAAGTTTTTGTCTACAGATACGTCATCTCGTATGGCGCCGTCATCACCAGAGCTGGCCGCAGGTCCCTCCTCCAGGTAATGGATGAGTACGACTTCGTTGTCACCCTCAGCCCACTCCAGCCCTGCACCAACTACTCCATCTGGGTTATTGCCGAGAGCTACACAGGATTCGTCAGCGATCCGGTCATCGTATTTGCTGCTACCCTGGACGCTGGTAGGGTTTTTGTCTCTGGTAGTGACAGAGTACCTGGCGTTGCCAGGGTGAAGAACATGAGCTAAGACTCCTGGGCCCTCGTGGTCCTACCAGGGCATATATTTCATGTGGTAAATGTTAGTACATGCAATCACTAACACTACACATCTTCTCAACAAAGAAAATGTTATTTCATGTACACTTTCTCTGGGTGTCACATCTATATTGCATTCTTAACCCGCTATCTTCATCATTGTAACAGCGCTGGGCAAGCTCTTCAGTGCTGCGTCAGGTCTTGTCAAGGGTGGAAGTGTTAGACAGAGCTCACTACAATACGGAGACAACTTCTTCCTTGAGAGAAGATCAACTGTTCACAAGTGTGTGTGCAAAATGATTACCAAGATGTAAGGCAAAAAGAGACAGTGAAAAATGCTGCTGACGCTAGAGTTGATATGATTATTTGGTCTCTGATCCAGGATTACCTCTTCACTGACAGCTGTAAATATTTCCTAGAAACTTACAATTAGTTCCTTCTAGATGTCTTTGCACTTTATTGTTATCCTTCCCTCTTGTTAAGCCGAGTCACTTGTTCAATCACTGTCATCATCTTTCTAGTGTGACAAAGACCACCTTCGGTTAGATTATTGACCTTTGATTGCTCAAGCACACAGCAACATTGGTAAACAAAGTTGTTGCGTCGACCTTGAGGCTCCCTCTACTGTACCCTGAGGTAATTGCTGGATTCTTGGGGTCTCTACTCTCAGGTAGCTTATGGAAACGTCATCTCAATACACAGAGCAGTGAACACTTGCTGGCGGTGTACTCACTGTTCCCAGTCACTAATATGACACATGTGCTCACAACGCAGCATCTCTTCTCACTTAAATATACTTTTACGTGTGTATTCAAAATCAACAAAAATAACACTATGTTTAATTTGCGCATAAGTTTACATAAGCAATAAGATGAGAACCATTCATAATATTGTATGCGTAAATGCACTAATGAATGAATTTTGAAATACATTCAATATGATAATTTAACTTAATCTTCAAGACTCAGCGAGCCTAAAGTATTATGGAATGTTGGAAACTAAGAGATCGCTGCCTTAATGATCCTGTTAATAGACTGCTCTTAACCTTCAGTTCTAAGCTAACCATACTTTATTATTATGAATCAAGTGCGGGCCCACAGCCATAGTTTACTTCTCTGTTCAGAAATGTAAAATATATTAGATTTGGTTCAATCATAAGGTTTGTATATGAACTTATTCTTGCCTGTGTTGCCTCAGAGCCCGACCCCGTGAGTGACCTTCAAGTGACGGACGTGGACACGAACGAACTGACCATCTCATTCGAGCCTCCAGAGACCAACAGACACTGCGTGAAGGACTACGACATCGAAGTCGTTGACCTGGACCAGCCGGAACTTGCGAGCAGACGAGTGTCCGCGGCAGTCCAGTACTTGATCACAGGTCTGGAAGCCTGCACCAACTACCTGATAATGGTGCGAGTGGTGTCACCAGGCGGGAACGCGTCCGCCTGGCAGGAGGTTAACAACAGGACCCTGGACGCTATACCCTCCGCGCCCCAAAACTTGGCAATGACTGAAGCGACCACCAGCTCCATCTCGCTCCAGTGGTACCAGCCTGACACTAACAGCCGCTGCGCCAGCGAGTACATACTTACTTGGGAAGACAGCGAAGGCAATCCCGGTGGTCCCGATACAATTACTGATCCAACGAGCTTGTCAGTGACGTACACAGTTGAAGGTCTGATGGCGTGTATAGACTATACATTCACTCTTGTTGCAGAGTCTGGGGCCGGCGAGAGCGACCCCACACAGCTGACACAAACTACCCTCTGCACCTAGCCCAGCAGCTTCCAATCCGGGGTGCCCCGGGAGGCGCCACCAACCCTTCACGGCTGACATGCACGAACCTGATCGTTGGAACTGATAGGATTGGAACGAATTGAAAGAGCCGAATGTTGTCTATGCCCTTACTACCAACTTGGGGACTGTCAGCCACACGGATCTTATTATATAGGGAAGAAAACAATACCTTTCTCAAGGTGTCTAACAATATACGAAAAACAAAGATCTTCGATCGACAAATAAAACGAAATTGTAAGATTAGACACAGCTGAAGTACTACAGATCACGCACTCGTCCAACTATCAACTGCCAGATTACTCTTTAAGTATATTGTACCATCCAGGAGACCAAGACACAGGTGCCAGCTCATACCTCACTTACTGCCCCACAGACATCGACCACCGCACCCGCTTCATCCTGAAGTGTGTATGTAATGTCAAACCTGATACTGTGTATTAACTGCCCTCTGTCTCCGTAGATACCGAAGGACCTTCAGCGAAACTCACTCTCTAGCGGCATGCGTCAGGTCAAATAAAATTGTAAAATAAACTTTATAGAGTTAAGTTTTTTAACTTTCTTCGTAAGTGAAGAAGAAAATAAGAAACATGAAGATTCGTGCTGGAGTCATTGATCTAACCTTTAGTGTTATCTAAAACCTATAAAACAGAACAGGTTTTATAGGTTTTAAAAGCGAAAAACAGGTTATTCGCTTGTTCAAACTTAGATCTAGCCTCATCCAACTTTTGGAAAATGGGACATGGGTGGCATGGAGTGTCACAGGCCAGTGAGGGGTCAGTCCAGTGTCACATTTAAAGAAATACTGGCTCCTATAATGACCCCCTGCGATTTCATGCTCTCTCTCACACACATAGAAAAAAAGAAAGAGAAGAGAAGAGAGAAAGAGAAAGAGAAAGAGAAAGAGAGAGAGAGAGAGAGAGAGAGAGAGAGAGAGAGAGAGAGAGAGAGAGAGAGAGAGAGAGAGAGAAGAGAGAGAGAGAGAGAGAGAGAGAGAGAGAGAGAGAGAGAGAGAGAGAGAGAGAGAGAGAGAGAGAGAGAGAGAGAGAGAGAGAGAGAGAATCTTTGGGTGAAGGGGAGTAAATGATGGGAAAGAAAAGCAAAGGGGAGAAGTAAAAGGGGTGTATTGCGGGAAGAGGAAGGAGAGTGGGAAGAAAGATGGAGTGGGTGTGAGAGGGGGAGAGGTAAGGATGGGAGACTGCGCTAGTGGAGGTAGAATGAAAAGGGGTTAAGAGGCGGAAGGCGGGAGGGAGACCCGGGTACCGCCGGATGCCCTTATATTAACCTTATATATTGTCAGGTAAAATCTCTAGGAAGAGATTCGGCCTGCTCCATCATCACCTATTCCTCCCACATCACGTCTATATATTAAAGTAGTGCAGCCACAGAAGAATAACAACAACTACCTCCAGACGTCTAGACAATACCACCAGTCTACCAACCCCACTGCCAGTCACCCCACCTCGCACCTGGGTCGCTGGGAGCTCACGCCATCCGAAACAAGCAGTTTAAGAGCCGGTTAATAGTTAAAGAAGGAACCAGCGCCATCTGGACGGCCGTCGCCGTGTATATATAGGGCTACCTAGCCCACTACAGTTCAGATTACTCCTGGGTGCTCTGCTGAGTAGACCTGTTGACATACCCCGGCGTGGTAACAGAGATATTCAGTTTGGCTCACAGTATTCCCGCACCATATTTTATTTGCACATTAACGTAACGTAAATTTGATTGTTCATCTTGTTTGTTTTGCACACTTTGTACTAGAGCCAAGCCTCGATATTTTGTTTTGTAATTTGTTTAATTTCAGTTTTCTATCAAAGTAAAGGATTTTTAACTGTTTATTCTTCTCTTTTGTGCTTTATCCTACAGCTGCCACACAGTGAACATTACACACCACTCTAATTTTTTTTTTTTTTTTTTTTTTGCTTTTGTGTGACTGGCATTCTATCTGCTTAGAGACTGCAATACCATCTATTTTTCTCGTCACAATATATATATATATATATATATATATATATATTACACACTAGGAGGGTTACCTCGCGGTGTCCTGGGATAGTCTGTCTCTTCCCCCACCCCCCATTCCACCCCTCTTATCCACATTCCCCCTCTTCCTTTCTGCCAGAAAATTATTTATGCAATGATAATATTGCACTAGCAATATTATTTATTAGTCTATTATTCCTACCTCTGCCCTTCCATTCCGTTTGTTCCCCCATTCGTCCTCCCCACCAATCCCCCCCCCTTTTCGCCTCTCTTCCCTTTCTCTCGGAAAATATAATATTAGGAAGCAATGAAGCTATTGTATGGGTCCCTAATGAAATATTTTTTATACTTTTTTTATTTTATTATAATATTTTATTTTAATTTATTTTATTAATATTTTATATTTATTTATATATATTTATATATTATTTATATTTATGTCGTACCTAGTAGCCAGAACTCACTTCTCAGCCTACTATGCAAGGCCCGATTTGCCTAATAAGCCAAGTTTTCATGAATTGTTTTTCGACAACCTAACCTAACCTAACTTTTTCGGCTACCTAACCTAACCTATAAAGATAGGTTAGGTTAGGTTAGGTAGGGTTGGTTAGGTTCGGTCATATATCTACGTTAATTTTAACTCAAATAAAAAAAAATTGACCATACATAATGAAATGGGTAGCTTTATCATTTCATAGGAAAAAAATAGAGAAAATATATTAATTCAGGAAAACTTGGCTTATTAGGCAAATCGGGCCTTGCATAGTAGGCTGAGCAGTGAGTTCTGGCTACTAGGTACGACATTTATATACAGTATATATATATTTATATATATTTATTTAATATTTTATTAATATTTATATTTTATAATAAATATTTTATACTTTAGGGCATCATAATGAACATGTCACACTTGACTACACTTGAATCTATGAAAACTGGATGGAGGAAGGTGTCAATAATTAATAATATTTCTCCAATCATTAAACATAGACCTGCCCCGACCAGCCTATGTCAATCTCATACCACAGACCATTTTCCCTTACAAATTTGGGTGAGGCTAACCCCAAGCGTCTGGTCTCCAACATTGGACAGACAGACATGCTCTCTTCTAATATAGAAGCCCGATATTCTAGGAACCCTTGTTTAGAGTGCAGTGAGAACTATCCCCTTTCCCCCCCACGCCTATTCCTTTCTCCCCGCCCCCCTGTCTCTCTCTTCTCCATCCTCCTATGCGTCAACTCTTCTCGCCTGTATCAGCGTGTGTCATAAAACTGTCTCACCCGCGCCCTTTCTCACGCCATATTGTGTCCGTGAACACGTGTGTGTGTGTGTGTGTGTGTGTGTGTGGAGAAAGGGGGGGGGTGGAGGCGAAGGGCGAGAGGCAGAGGGGGGGGGACAAGGGGAAGGACGAAGTGCGGGGGGGGGGGGAGTGCAAGGGGACGGGGACGAAAGGGTCAACGTGGAGATTTGCCTATCTTCGAGCTAGCCAACTTACAAGAATCATTGTAGCAAATATACAATACAGCACCTTCCTTGCACTAAGCAAACAACTTACAACCCTCATTGTAGCCAATATATAATACAGCACCTTCTTTGCACTAAGCAAACAACCTACAACCCTCATTGTAGCCAGCAGATTTGCCTATCCTCGAGCTAGCCAACTTACAAGAATCATTGTAGCCAATATAAAATACAGCACCATCTTTGCACTAAGCAAACAACCTACAACCCTCATTGTAGCCAGCAGGCTGTGACACCAGATGAAGAAAAGAAACGACTGAGGTAATTGTATGTGACGTCAGCCTCGGGGCACAACAAGATACCACCATGACTACTGAAGGACGCTGTGCGACCCTTGCTATAGTATATAATTTCCTCACTGAAAAATGGAGAACATCCAGGCTGTTGGAAAATTTATTATTTCGTGGTAATGTACAAAAATGGGTAATGACGTATCCACTGAACTCCACAAGTCTCCCATTATTTATTAATCTGATTATTAATCTATTATTATTTATTAATCTGAGTATTATCTTCAGATTATTAATCTGAAGCTAACAGGTTTCAGATTATTATTTCTTTGTTGGTCTATTTATGTATGAGAACTCGTACTTTTTATATGCTTTTCTGTACTCCCCTAGTTGTGCTTGCGAGGGTTGGGCTTAGGTTCTTTGGTCCCGCCTCTCAACTGTCAATCAACTGATGTACAGGTTCCGTGTACTCACCTAGTTGTGTTTGCGGGGGTTGAGCTCTGGCTCTTTGGTCCCGCCTCTCAACCGTCAATCAACAACAATGGTGTGTGTGTGTGTGTGTGTGTGTGTGTGTTCACTCACCTAATTGTGCTTGAGGGGGTTGAGCTCTGGCTCTTTGGTCCCGCCTCTCAACCGTCAATCAACAGGTGTACAGGTTCCTGAGCCTATTGGGCTCTATCATATCTACATTTGAAACTGTGCATGGAGTCAGCCTCCACCACATCACTTCCATACACACACCACACACGTGTGTGTGTGTGTGTGTGTGTGTGTGTGTGTGTGAATGTGTGTGTGTGTGTGTATGTGTGTGTGTGTGTGGAGTCAGTTCGGAGCTCCGGTTCTCGTCTTTGGGAACTTTAATGATTATTCGACTGTGTTTACCATCATTGCGTGGGTCAACTCCTGCACCAACCCGCTCACTCTTGTCAATATTATTAGCTCTATATGTTTACATTATTATCATATATAATTATAAACAGACTTAAAATAATATTTTATTCAGTGTCTAAAGTTAGACAGTCCCTTTAAACTGTAAATTAAATTTAGAATTACTTATCCTTGCTAAGAGGCAAGACTAGTCACCTGATAAGGGGAAGACAATTCACACCAGGTGATATGATTACCTACACGGCTTGTGGTTCCTACTTCGAGACAACACGAAGCTACAGTTTCAGAAATAAAATTCTAACACACATTTACAAGCCAGAAAGCAGAGCTACAAGATGATCTACCTGCTTATAATGCAGATTCCTTACTGCCAAAGATGCACATATTTTGAGAGGCGCCTCCCTGTTCATTACAAATGATGAAAAGGCCAAATGAACAAATCCACAAGGGGAATGATAAGGTTTCGAACCTACGCACGGGATGTACCCAGACGCGCCTTAGTCAACTGTACCACCACCACATGGTCAAAAGAATTGCAACCTGAAGTGCTACTGCCCTCACGAGGATCTGATATATCACGCTATTGTGTTTTGTGTGTGTGATGATGTGGCCTCAAGACGAATAAAAGATATCCGACCTTGAAGTACTTGCCAAAGGGTAGTCTCTCCCTTGGACCCCATACTGGCCGGTGACCTGGTCGACCCTCAACTAAATTACACGCAGATTGATTGATGAAGATTAAGCCACCCAAGAGGTGGCACGGGCATGAATAGCCCGTAAAATTACATGCAATAATGTGCCCGTTTAAACACTCACAAGCTGACTCTCACCCCTCTCACACACATTTAGGTCAGCACATCTATGGTCACAAAGCTCCAAGTCTTAAGAGAAACTCATATCACCATGAAATAGACAATAGAAGTTCCTAATCCAAGTGAGCTTAATCACTTTGAAAAAAAGACTGGGAGAGGGAACCAGGAGAAAGCGCCAAGCCATTACAACTGTATAGCACTTGGAAGGGATTAGGATAACGATTTGGGACGGGACGGGGAAAATGAATGGTGCCCAACCACTTAAACGGTCGGGGACTGACAACCCATTCTGTTGTTTAGATAGTACCTATTGTGCCGATCGCTAATAGTCACGAATTTGTACCTACTTAACTTTTCAATAGTAGTATATCGACTTGTAAGAAATGCTTTGATAAAAATGAAGCTAAAATACAAACTTAAATATTCCTAGGCCTAGTATAGCACACATATGCACTATATTAGGCCTCAGATATCGTGTATTAGGCCTAGGAAGGTTAGGTTAGTTTAGTTTGTCTTTGCAACTAAACAATAATGTTTAGGTTTGTTCAACTCCATAGTGCCGATTTCTACTTTCTAATTTCGTTGTACGTCGGTATATATATACTATAGTCCTCATTGTTACCATAAGTACTACCAAAACAGGAGGATGGGCTGGGGATTGAACGCAGACCTGCATGAAGCGAGAGCCTCAAAAATTCTTAATGTGATCTGAATGACTTATATTCTGCTGGCAGTCTTTGGATAACTTTTAGCTATATTGATGGAGAAATGCTGAAATGTTTATTTATCACATGTTAAACCTAGGCTGTAGTATGACGTTGTAGCACGGCACAAATACATAGGAAATATATAATAAATACAAAATATATGTAAGCGTTAAGAATCATGAAAACATGCAAAAACGCACATTGGAGGCCAGGAGCTCTTGAGGCGATATAACGACCGTAAACAAGATTAGAAAAGGTTAAGAAGTAATAGCAATCAAACAACTTTCAAAAGTGGTACGAACGCGGGAATGAAACATTTCTTAACAAATCAACAAGAAAGTTTACAAAGTCTCGAACGTAGGTTCGAACCCTCATCACGGCCCCTGTGGATTTGTTTATTTAAAATTTACAAATGTTTATGACAAACTGAGTACGAAAGACGAAAACAAAGAGCCTGCTTTGACTCTAGCAGCGTCAAATGGGTTATCAGTACACAAACCTGCACACACACACACACACACCTGTCGATTCCCATGGCGGTAACAACACGAACATGGCCACACAGTCTTACTGCCGGCGAGAGGTTGAAACCTTGAGAACCCCGGAGGTGAACAGCTTGTCAAGGACATTCTCAGTATCGTAAGGTGTTGTTGGTCCCATCGTTGTTATTTTGGACGCAACGCCTAATTTGGCATCAGCTACGTCATGAAGCCAATATGGTTTATAAATACTGGTAGCCTGGATCCGTCTCATAGTGTGCTGCACCATCTGCACTGGACAGCACCTCAGGACAGACTGCAACAAGTTTACCAGAGCCATGAAGACTCTCGTGTACCTGGCAGCGGTCCTTGCTGTCTGCGCTGCAGCTGTGCCTGGTAAGTTTTTGAAAGCATTATAGTTTTATTTTGACTGCAATTATATGCATTTTATAAATAATATATTTTTGAGTTTCCGTAATGTTTTCTTTTTCTCGTGAATCTCATGGAGTAGCAACGAACACAGCTGAGCGTTCATCCTGGTTTTGTTATCAAGTTATTTGTCTTAGGTCACTAACTTACAGCAGTCAGGCGCCAGTGTTCCAAGAGTTCGCTTATGTCTAGCTTTTGCACGAATCCCGTCATTGACGGTGACCCGCAGCAGGGCTGGGACAAGTTGCAGACGCTCTGGCAACAATGGGAACGCTGTATAGTTATGATTTGGTGGTGCAATTGGTTTGCATTTTGACTTGAGGCCTATGAACCGCGGGATGTTGTTGTTGTTTCAGATTTAGCTACTCAGAACGAAGTGTCCATGTAGCACGGGCTATGGTGAGCCCGTAGCTCCGCGGGAGGGGAATGGTCGCCAATGTAAACAACGTACACTAGTCAGGTGGCTTCTTATTCAAGCTTCTTCAAAGATCACACAATTTAATGTTTTTTTTCCGGTATTTCTTTATATTTTAACCTTCACCAGCGGCTTCGAGACGGACATCGTGAAGAAATTCCCGATCAAACACCTTGTTACAATCGCTAGTCCCTCTCCGACCGCTAGAGCTGAAACACTTCAAAGACTTTAAAAGTGGTACTGACGTACTAAAGCGAGCCTCGCCTCTACCATTTAGTAACATAATAATTTACACCAGCTAGTGAAGAGCTTGACTGATTCCCAGTTGAAATATTCCAAACGACCAACCTAAATGTATCTAAATACATCCACGAGGCAGTGGAAAAGAACCCTTTGAAGTTAATCATTTACTTATCTCCTTTATCAGTCTTAGCAAAAAATGTATGGATGAGAATGTTATTGCATCTTTATCTCTTTAAAAACATAAATATTTCTGTGATGTTCCTTGTTTAGTTTTAATTTCTGTCTAGTTCTCTTGACAAAAACATGAGGCAGAGTCCACCATACCGAAAGACACAAAACAAGCCAAACTTCAGCTCCTCACATCATCTCCTCCCACAGGTCACATCGAGAACTTCCAGCAGACAGGTAGTGGAGATGGTGAAATTGTACTGGAATGGGACTTCGTGGAAGGGGACTACCCACTCCACAAGTACACCATTGTCACTGACAGCGACTTCTCCAACGACGTCCGTTGTACGGCCAGTCACTGCTCTTACACCGTCACATACCTCGAGGCATGCAAGGCGCACAAGTTTGATCTTATTCCCATGTTTGACAACCCGGCTGATGGCACTATATTCCAGGGCGACGTGGCCACCACCACTGGTTATACGGCTGATACACGTGAGTATGAGCAGCCGTCCATAGACCTTTAAGTATATGTCTGTGTCTGCATATACGTATACACACACAACTGAGAATATATTTTGTGTAACGTTTGATCGTTACAGCCCCAAGCGCTGCGACTAACGTAGTGGTCGTCTCCGAGGGCGACACAGGGACAACTATACAATGGGACGCTCCAGAAGTCAACTCAGCGTGCGTCGAATCCTACAAGGTGTGCGCAAAGGAACTAGAAGAAACTCTGGAGACCAACTGCCAGACGGTGAGTATGGAAGAGGTTTAGGCTCATAGGGAGAGAACCAGGTGGTGGTGGAAGGACAGTTGGTGAGGGGAATGGGCCAGATGGTGAAAGACACCGTCATTTAATAAGAGTGGAAATCAGGTGGTGATTGGAGTAGTCTAGGTGCTGAGAAAGAGAGCCAGGTGGAAAGGAAGACAGCCGGCAGAGAGAGAGAGCCTCTTGTGTAAGAGCCAGCTTGTGCGATACAAGGCCAGCTTGTGAGGTAGAAGGCCAGCTTGTGTAGGAGATAGTCAGGTGGAGGAGCAGAGAGCTGTGTGATAACGCAAGGCTCACCGACAGGTGGACACCACGTCCGTGACGATGGCGTTCATGCAAGGCTGCGGCAACTACGAGGTGACAGTCACGCCCTTGACTCCCAGCGGCAACGAGGGCCCCGCCGCAACGGAGACTGTTACTACCAAGGAAGGAGGTACGAGGCATGCCACACAACACTACCGGCAACATGCATGCCACACAACACTATCTGAACAGTGCACGCAACACAATACCTAAGTCAGCAGATGTTGACAACGGAAGCCACCTTGGGGTTGGGTTAAGAGAGGTTTGGATCAGGGGAATGATGGGAAACACAATGAAGTGAGTGAGGGTAAACACAGGTTTACCCTCAGATGGGAAGCACAGGTGAGTGATGTGAGGAAGATGGAGGAGTCTCTGTTGGTCTACCATAGGTGTGTCATAAGGGGGCTCCAATACGTCCAGTGAATCGAATGAAGCAACAGCAATAACGTAACATAGATGAAGTACAAACAATAAAGTGACAAAAAGTGAATCATTAGTCCTAAAGTAACACAGGTGAACCACTAACACTTAATTCATACAAATAAAGCATAAAAATGTCACAAGTGTGAAACACTAAGATGAGTTAAGGTCTGATACTAAATATATATACCACGAGTAGAGTACTTGAAGCATAGCGTGAAGCACTAACAGCAAGGTTGTGTCCTGGACAGTTCCCGGGCCGCCTCGGGACGTGGTCGTGGGCATCACCACAGACAGTACTATCGAGCTCAAGTGGAACGACCCTCTCATCAACCCTCTGTGTGTTCATGAGTAAGTCAATCCTCTGTGTGTTCATGAGTAAGTCAAGTCTCTGTATGTGTTCATGAGTAAGTCAAGTCTCTGTATGTGTTCATGAGTAAGTCAAGTCTCTGTATGTGTTCATGAGTAAGTCTGTTTTCATGTGTAAGTTACTTCTACAAGGCTGCCTGTTAACCATACACTAATGTGCAGGTAAACTGGGAGGAAACTCCCAATATCGAGGCGAACTACCCGGGACCCGACTCTCAACCCCCACCACTACAACACAAGTCTCCCTTCTGACTTAGCGCCCTTCTTCTGAACGAATCTTAAGAATGACATACCCTCTTCCATAGGCTCTGGCTCCTCCTTAGAAGTCCCATATTATTTGGAGTGACATTGTTTATATCTGAAGAACATCTTAAGCGACGCCTCCGTCTGAGTGACACTGTTCTCTTTCTCGATGGACGTTTCTTCCTCCTTATGTTTCTTATGTTCCTCCTTTCCCCCTTCTAGTTCAATGACACTATCTTCCTGAGAACTACACTGTCTTCTGAATAACACCACCTCTGAATTATTTATTTCTCCAAACTAAAAATGCTATCGAATAACGTATTATTGTGTGTCATCACCCAGCTACACCATCACATACGGCGCCATCACAGATGAAGTCACCCGAAACTCCCGGGAAATGTCTGAAGATGAGTACGACCACCACGCCACCATCGGCCCCTTGGACGCCTGTACCAACTACTCCATCGAAATCTCCTCCATCAGCGAGTCTGGAATCAATAGTGCGCCTGTCCTAAAATTTGCCAACACTAATGAGACAGGTGAGACAGATCTATTACCAGAGGGACCTCAATGAAGGAACCATGTATGGCTTTATCAACGCCTTATTTCTCAGACCGTATATATAAATATGGATCAAAAGACATCATAGCATTGTCCATATTTCGATGTTTTTTTAAACTACGGAAAATTGTTTTGACAGCTCCTCAGACGCCTTCCCTCGTCGTGCTGGACCCCAGTAACCCGGAGAGTATCGACGTGTCGTGGGACAGCCCCAAGGACGCCTGCGCGGCCAGCTTCGTCATCTGCTGGTACGACGGCATACACCCAGTCGAAGAGTGCGAGGAGGTACCTTCTAACACCGACAACTTCACCATCACCGGCCTGCTCCCCTGCAGCAACTACCAGGTCACCATCACCTCTGTCACGCCAGGAGGCATCGAGGGCGTCCCCACCGCCGACTCCACCACCACTCAGGATGTTGGTTAGTAGAGTGTCGGCGGTCTGTCGCTGCTCGTAGCCGCCTTGTTATTGTTAATTACCCACCTTACTGGCACAGGTACTCTGGCGCAGGTACTATGGTGCAGGTACTCTGGCACAGGTACTATGGTGCAGGTACTCTATGATTAAGACACTATTCAAGAAGTGGTCGTTGCCTCGCACTGCCTGCAGCTGGACTTCACTTCTACCAGCTGCTGTGCCATTTTTTGCTACCCTCAGCTGTTGATTCTTCCCAGCTTATTACTCTATATATTCTCCCATGATCATCCTTAACTCTCATAACTTCCCACCGCGCCATCATGAACAAGCGTGAACACATCCACTAAGCTCACATGTTCATTAAAACAATGAGCTGAATACTAATAATGAATTAATGAACTGACATTTTGGCCTCGGAGCTTCCTTTAGTCGAGGAGTAAAATGTCTGCTCTTCAAGAATCTAGATTCACCCGTTTCATATTTTAGTGTTGGTTGGCATTCTTAACCTTCCCAAGGAACTAAGAATTCTCTTTGAGTTAAAAATACAAAAGTCGACAGTCCAAAATGATGTATTGGTTTCAGTAGATTAAAAGAAAACCACTGAATTGGTGTATACTAATACTTTGGGTGTTCTCTCAGAGCCGGGCCCCGTCAAGAACTTGATGCTAACCGAGATTCACGAGAACGCCGTGAGACTGTCCTTCGAGCCGCCAGAGACCAACCCGCAGTGCGTCAAGGAATACGACATTAGAGTCATTGACCAGGACATGTCCCGTGTGACGGTTCCCAAGCTGAATGGTGATCCTGTGGTAGACCTCATCACCGGCCTGGAAGCCTGCACCAACTATCTGTTTAAGGTCCGCGCCATCACAAAGACGAACAAGGAATCCCCCTGGAGCGAAGTATACAACAGAACCTCGGATGCTACGCCCTCAGAGCCGCAGCAATTTGGACTGGAGAGTGCAACCACCACCTCCATCACCTTGCATTGGTTCCAGCCGGCGACCAACACCCGCTGCGTCACCGAGTACTTGCTCTCCTGGCAGGGCGCCAACAACGAAGTGGGCACAATGACGGTCACCGACATAACCAGCTTCAAGAACGAGGTGACCGTTGATGGCCTCAACCCGTGCGAGAAGTACACCTTCAACCTCTCCGCCATATCCGCCATTGGCGAGAGTCACGTCCTGACATTCACTCAGTCGACAATCTGTGAGCAAAATCAGTAAGTGAAGACCTCCAGAGAGGTCTTCATCCACAGCTGTGATAACCGCCCTTACCACCCTCTTACTACTGTTGAAGTCTTGTGTACATGCAAAAGACTGCAACAGCTTCAAGTAGTCACTTTTGTAAGTGATGTTGCCTGCAGTCTGTATATAAACTTTTGTAGTGTCTCATGATTTCATGGGAATTAAAATATTATTAAATGGCAATAATTGGCATTAGCAAAGATTTATTAAAAACTTTTGCCCAACCGTAAAATATATATAAACAACTCGGTTGCAATTTCAGTGGCCAGTTAAAAAAAAGACTTAACTCCGAGGGGGACATTCGCAGGGATCTTGTGCAGCTGATCTCAGTCCACACTTCTGTAGACATTGTGACCGATCAGCATCAATAAAGGCAAACGTGTACATCTCATCTAAACTGATGACTCCCCCGGCCACTGCCCGGCCTTTTACTGCTAAACCATTTACTTCAGCCATCCTCCTTCTCCTGTTCTAAGGCTTCACTGTGATATAAAAGCTTCTTCAAGTGTATAATGTGTTGTTTCCTTGACCCCAAAGGGCTCTGACAGCCCAACACATTACCTGAATTTACCTGAAAACGACTGTCCCTAGTGGTCACGACGGGAACAGGAAGCCGGAGGCTTGTCGAAGGGAAAAGTTTACATATTTATGGAGATTCTGAATACTGAACCTAATTATGTAGTCACAAATGGACGTAAATATATCTAATTGACATAACTTATTTTGGTTCAGCCAATATCATGTTTATCTTGATATAATCAATGACCATCTCAAACTTTCTGTAGCACAGTGGTTAAAGTACTTGGTTCCCAACCGAGGGTACTGAGTTCAATCCCCGAGGCAGAACAGAAGCGTTGGGCCAGTTATTCCCCCCCTGATGTCTCTGTTCACCAAGCGGTTTATTGGTACAAACCCTGAGGTAAAATTTCAATAAACACTAATTCTTTAAAGAAACGGAGTATTTCTTAATAGACAGACTTTTGGAACACTGAAATAAATTATCAGTGAATGTAAGATGAGGCAAAGTAATTACCAGGAGTCGGCATGACAACATAGCAACTAGAAGGGATGTGAGGAAGGAGTGAAGGAACAGTGCCCAACCGCTTGCACCACCGAGATCGACCACCGACTTTGCAAGGAGCAAGGCCGCCGCTGACTCAACCAGTCCAATCGGATGGTGAAACAGTGAACGTAAGACCGAGAACATCACCACATTTAAGGACTCCCACGTCCCGTCAATAAATTGCAGAGAAACAAAATTACCAGAAAACAGAAAACCTCGCCTTGAAGCCTCCTGTCTCCTGTTAGGTACTTGTAAGTAATCCTAGCTCAGCTAAGCCTGCCTAAATCAATCCTAAATTAGAGCATAGAAAATTATTTTTATCGTAATAATGCTAATGCTAATAATGATGAAATAACATCAAGAGCAACAACAACAATGATGATTATCATAGGCCTACTCCCAAAACTCCTCCAGTGTCCCTCTCTCGCCGATCACAATATTACTCACTGATCTATCAAAGTCTCTCGTCTATCAACAGGCTGGCGAGCGAAATACAGACATTTCAGTAACTCAAACACCTTGTAAATGATGGGCAAAGACCAGACACAACTCAATAAATGCCCAGCACAGTGTCGTCATCTTTATCACCTGTGTAATACAGGTGAAGTAGTACAGGTGATTACCTGTGTAATCACCTGTGACACAGGTGAAGGCAAAACCAACATAAAACATAAAATATATACTCCGAAAGGTGTACTCTACTTCTCGGGGTATACACACACACTAAGTTTACTTTATGAGGAGTTACAAAGGAACTCCAACAGCAACAGACCATTAGATCCAATGTAAACCGTTTGTTTAAGCTCATGGCTGATGTACAAACACTCTTAAGGCCTAGATTTGAAGAACAGTACCTTTCAATTCTATATTCCAATGTTTACACCGTATGCAGTGAATTATATCACGTTATATCTTTCCCCAAACACTTAATATTTCCCTAAAGAAAAAAAAAACATTTTGCGTTAACTGAAAACATTTGTCTAATGACGCCATTGTTTCGAGCGCTATTGGCCAACGGAAAATTAAAAGTAATATTGGGGGATCAAGATTATTATAATGACAAATACTTGTATGTAACAGCCTCTTATTCTTCTCTTTCAAGAAAGAATAAGGTCTTCTAAACGGCCTTCGTATGATTTCTAAGTTGCTCGACACAGAGCGCTTAACTTATCAGTATCTTGTTGACCAGAGCACACACTAGAAAATAAAGGGACGACGACGTTTCGGTCCGTCCTGGACCATTCTCAAGTCGATTGTCTTCCTCAAGACCGGTGATCAAAACTGTGTTATACCTGTATAGGACGTTCTTAGTGAATTGCAGTGGTAGTGTCGAGTAGAATGGTAGATTGTTAGATATAGTGGTAGATAAATAGGTAGGTAGACATATTGGTCGATAGGTAGGTAGACATATTGGTCGATAGGTAGGTAAATATATTGGTAGATAAATAGGTAGGTAGACATATTGGTAGATAAATAGGTAGGTAGACTAATAAACATATATAAGTGATAGATATATATTGAAGGTATATATAAATAAGTGACAAGCATATCAATATGTAGAGATAAGTGGTAGGTCAAATTATTGGTAGATAAATGGAAGGTAGACTGATGGGTAGACGTACAAGGTGTAGCAAGGTAAGCGGAGGTTTGGTCAAGCCTATTAGATGGGTCCATCTGTCGGTGCCCGAGGTCAGGCGGAGCAGCGTCTGGCGAAGCAGAGCTCCAGGCAGAAGACGAGGGAGGCAAGCAGGAAGCCACTTCCTAGCAGCACAAGTGTCCCCTAGAAGGAGCAGCAGCAGCAGCACGAGGAGCAGGAGGAGGAGGAACAGCAGCATGAGAAGGAACAGCAGCATGAGGAGTAGCAGCAGCAGCAGCAGTACGAGGAGGAGCATCATCAGCAGTACGAGGAGAAGGAGGAGGAGGAGCAGCAGCATCAAGAGGAGTGTTAACATTCAACAAAGCAATAACACAATCCAGTCTAAGATGATGCAAAATCTTACATGACTATATAACAATGCAAAAATACAACTAAACAAAATTTCTGAATAAATCAATATTGATATACACGGGTTAAACAACTGTTGCATTGTTCAGTATAAACCTAGGCTACCAAAGCAATTGTATACCAATGACCCATTCACCATTCTCTATCTCAACAACTGTCAAACAAAAGGCCAATAAATCTGCATCGTTTAAAAACAAAAGTACAAAACTATTCCCAGGTTTTATATATTACAAAACAACATTAATTTACACTTACAGATCTGACAACTTGCTTTTAGTGTAAATGTTGTAAGAACTAGAGGCGCGTGAGTGTGCACAAGCGTGACCCAGAGGCGCTTACCCAGATGTTGGTGAGAGTGAGAGACTCCCTGACGGTGATGCTGGAGGGGGAGGCCCTGCAGGAGACGAGGAAGGGGATGTCACCTACCAACCAGTGCCCATAGAGGCCAGATTCTACCAACGGCCGGATCCTGCACCAGACACCACCAATTCACACATTTTCCGAGATGTATGTACCATAACCACATGAAAAAGGAGAAAACGTCTGTGTATTAACACATTATCAAGGAGGACACTCCGTGACAGTCTTATTAATACACGGCAGCTCTTGGACGTCACTTTCCTTGTGGGTTATTTACGCATAACTGGATCACGTGGTTGGTGATTATTCCGTATTTACGAATGCAGGGTTTTATTTTCACCACAGTAAGTGAACGACTTCATAGAGCACACGCTAAACACACTTGTCGTTGGGGAAGGACTCGCTGTGTGTGAGCGACGCAGGTATAGAATGCCCCTAGCTGTGACAGGTGCCGAATATGACACTATCAACCAGTGATTAGTTGCAGATAATTCTTATTCATCTGCATTTCATTGTTACAGTTTGTATGATTATTTGTTCTGGTTGACTCGTCAGTTCATACAGATTTTAGAGAGTAATTTATCTGAGTAAATTGTGAATGTTTAGAGAAAGTTAACCTTAAACATGCTGAGTTTGTTATATTTGACGATACTGCCATACACTCTCAGAGTATTTACATAATCAGAGATGCAGAAACGTGTGTATAAGAGTATTAGTGACTCTTTGAATACAAAGTCAAGAAAACACTAGTCTGCAGAGGTAGAGAGATGTTTCTTAATGATAAGATGTATAATCTGGAAAGTGTGTAACATTTCTCGGTATATAGACACTGGGTGTTTAGTCTTGTACGACATTTTCAGGAGATAAGTATACTAGCAAATTGGTCAGTAAGCTAGTGTCACGGCCTCAATAACCCTCCAGAACCTGATAAGCTTTAAGCCCAGCACCAAACCAAGTAGTTCAGAGATTAACTATATGTAAGACCTGGTGGTGGCGGCACTGGAAGTTGCTTGACAGTTCCTCTCGTTCCATCTCACTCTCCCTTTGTCTCATCCCACTCCCCTTCTCTCTCCCATTGACACGTCCCACTTCCCGTCTCACTGTCACACCCCATTTCCCCCTCACTCTCCCACTGACACGCCCCACCTTCCCCCCTCACTCACTCTCCCTCCGCCTCACTCTCCCACTGCCTGACCCCAGTTGCCCCGTACTCCCAGAGTCGCCCCCAACCTGGAGCGAGCTGTCATGCCCCAGCTCGACCTCACCCCGCCCTACACCAGCCTCGCCCCATCCGCTCCCCACAGCAAGAAAGGGCCGCGTCTCAGCCCACGGGCTCACCTGTAGCTAATGACAGGAACAATGGGACTCCCCTTCTGGCCGATGATGCAGTTGGTAGACGAGAAGAACGTTTGTCGCGCCTTGTAGAAGTCACACCTTCCTGGAGTCCCAGGGAAAACGTCCTCTTGTTTTAACATATTATTATTTGATTATTATCATTATTATTTTCGTGGAATTTATTTTTTAGTGGAACACGCGAAAGTGGAGGAGAAAGCGATATATATAACGCCGTCGCTGCCACTGTTCGCTACCCCAAAACGTTGGTTTGAAGAATTTTAAGAAGTGAACATAAATTCCAGGCCTTCAGGAAGTCCCTTGCTTGTATGCCTGAGTGTGATAAGCACTAGAGAGTACTGACGGATTTGATAAGCTTCAGGCAGTACAAATATAATGATGAAAGATGATGTGTGATAAATGTGCTAAGTAATGCATCAATGTTAAACCGAGCTAGAGTTAAATACTATATTTTAAGTTAATTATGAGAATAAATACCGGTGGCCCATATTAAGTGTTATTATTAAAACAAATAAAAATGAGCACATCACATAAAATAACTATGAACACTGCGCAAAAAAACAGTGATTTGTTCACGGTTGACGCAGTATAAGATCACTGCCTACCGCGGCCACCTAACAGGGAACATTTCATTCCTCAGAGACCTGTGAACAACGTGCGATGCTTGATAGAGCAGGACTTCAACAATTTTCATGGTTTACACAATGTGATCACAATAAAGTTATTCCAGGTAAGCACCCGTTGGTATAGTCTCTATATCAAAACAACCGTGATCAAGTAGTTTCGATAATTACTTCAACAGTATCAAAAAATCGATATCACCTTTTTTGAAATGATCTGTCAACACACAATATGGAACAACGATGAGGACAGCATCGCACATAATGGAATAAATGGGTTTTGAAGGTAAAGGGTCAAAATTCAGCAATGAACAAATAAAGATAGCCGTCACTGCTCTACCTGCTGGGGTAACAGGAGAAATAATTATTCCAGAAGAAACAAGGCCTTACAACCGCCTCCAAGGCGGTTGGGACAAGAAAAGAACGATAGCTCCTGCCAGGTCTCCAAAATACCGATACAGAACAAGAAAAGAACTAGCTAGCTCCTGCCAGGTCTCCAAAATACCGATACAGGACAAGAAAAGAACTTGCTAGTTCCTGCCAGGTTTCCACGCACCTGTTCTGGCGAAGAGGTCTGCGATGAAGAGGTCGGAGGAGAGGCTGGTGCTGATGACGACGTGGGTGTGGCGCCTCACCAGGGTGTCCAGCGCCCAGGGGAACATCTTGGCGTGCTCGTACCGCACGCGACCCACGTACTTCAAATCATTCAGTTCCTTCAGCTCACCAGACCGGATTTTCTGCAAGTGCCAAGAAAATAGTTATTTCAGTTTTCAACAAGTATTAAATAAAAAGAAATGATTTTCAGGTAAGTGGTTATCAAAAGTGTGCTAAACTAGTGGGGCTAAATGTATTCATATTTTGTGCCCATCAGTTTTTGGTTTGGTGTTGGACTTAAGGTCTATCAACCTCTGGACTTTACACACTTAAATATATAACAAGAATATTTAAATATACAACAAGAATATTTAAATATACAAGTATAATATTAGTATACAAATATTATCAATATAAAAACCCGCCATGAGCAAAAAATGATTTAACCTTCACGTTACTTATGCTAAACTAACCCAGACTCTGAATAAATGGTTGACGTATATTTTACTCTGTAATGAGGATGAGTATAGGGGTCCACTAACACTCACAGGATAGGTATGGGGTCCACTACCACTCATAATTGGTATGGGGGTCCACTACTATTCACAGAATGGGTATGGGGTTCCACTACCACTTACAGACTGGGTATGAGGTCCACTACCACTCACAGGATGGGTATGGGGGTCCATGGGGGTTTATATTGTACCCCCATACCTCACAGGGTATGGAGGGTACAATATATAAATGAGCTAATATCAAAGTTGGGAGCTAGAGGAAGGGAGGTGGAGCGTGACTCACAGAGATGGTGTCAGTAACGATGGTGTTTGGTTCCATGATGACGGTGAGGGAGGCGTGGTCGACGAGGTCCCTGATGGTCTGGATGGGGTGTGGTATGTGGCGCACGGCCAGCAGGGACACCAGGATGCCCTGGTAGCTCCACATGAACATCATCGCCACCACCACCCACCCGCCGCCAACCAATCGCTCCACGCCCAGGAACAAGCTGACGGTCGCGTCTGACACCGGTTAACAGTTGTGTATGACACGCTCAGATTACACGCTAAAGTCATATAGAGGTTCTGCTATCTCAAAATGTGTTTAAATTGTTACATAAGTTACGAATAAAATATCACGTCAATCAGATAAACCCAAATTTGGTTTCTTCTATAATAAAGAATGCTGTATGTTTGTTCAAAGTTGGAGGCCAGGCAGGGGCCAGATTCACGAAAGCACTTACGCAAACACTTACTAACCTGTACATCTTTTCTCAATCTTTGGCGGCTTTGTTTCTAATTTTTAAACAGTTAATGAGCTCCGAATCACCAGGAGGCTGTTTATAACAATAACAACAGTTGAATGGGAAGTTTTCATGCTTGTAAACTGTTAAATAAATGTAACCAAAGCCGTCAAAGATTGAGGAAAGATGTGCACGTTCGTAAGTGCTTGCATAAGTGCTTTCGTGAATCTAGCCCGATGCCTAGCGCTAGCCTCACACAACTCTCGCACATGCAGCAAGTGGGATGGGCGAGTGGCACAGGTCAGTTGGGATCAGCCCAAGTGAAAGGCTTTAAGAAATAGTCGTATTTATACAGACCCTCCCTTCCCATGAGAGGTTCATCAAGTCTGAACTATTGGTCGTGTTTCTCATAGAGTTTTTCAGCTTTTCGCAACGAATTTTTTGAGAGATAGGGGGGGGAGGGAAAGAGGGAGAGAGGGGAAGGAGAAGATGATGGAATAGAAAAGGGGAAGAAAAAGATGGTGGAAGAGGCGCAAAGAAGGGGGGAGGGGGAATGGGAGAAAAGAAAAGGAAGAGAGGTCTAAAAATGGGGAGGGGGGAAAACGCGGGAGGGGCAGCCAAGTACCTCTTCTATGTATGTATGTACATGTAAATATAAATATCTGTTCGAAGTTATAATTGGAGGCCAAACGGATAAGAGGGAGAGAAGAAGTGGGAGTGGAAAAAGGGGAAATGGGAAAGGGGATGAGGCGGGAAACGGGGATGTAGAAAGATAGAGTGCGGCGAGAGAGGGAAGGATGGGGGGAGGGGAAGAGAGACAGACTATCCCGGGCACCACCGGGTAGTTATCATGATCTAGATATCCAAGTTATGATCTAGTTATAAATCAGCTTGGACTGAATACCAGGTGGAACAGTCGACTACCTCACTGTATCTGGAGATGTACCTTGCTGGAGGAGAACTTGCAACTGCCGGAAGAGCAGATGTGATGCCCACTTCACGAGTCCGGCGTCGCTGGGGTGATGGCCAAGCACCAGCAGCGCCAGCCAGGCCACCAGCAGCGTCGCCAGCAGCGCCACCCACACGAATGCTGAGAACGGATGGAGGAAGAACCAGGAGTCGACTTCGGGCACGCCTTTGCCCACCAGGACGCTGCGGTCGTCGAAGTAGAAGGACCGGGTGAAGTCGACGATCTTGCTTCGGCTCTCCGTGATGCCGAAGGGCCCGAGGGCGATGTCCACCTCCTGCAAGTGGGAAGGATCTCACCAGCTATATCTAAGACCAAGGACAGAACGTTATTGTTTACTGTATATTTGAAGAGCACACAGGTACAAGCTCACTAATATACACGATTGGCGAGCAGTGGTTGATAGGCAGGGCCCATGAGCTGATGCTCGCTCTTTAAGGACATACAGGTGAGTATTCAGCATACACATACATGTGTCATACACAGCATACCATCTTCGTAGAGCAGCACTTTCTCTTATGAACGTCAGCATTGATGTAGGACAGCATTGTGGAAATTACCCCTAGGCATAGTACTGACCCTCCCCAGGATGCCACCCACAACAGTTGCCTAATTCCCGGGTACCTGTTACTGCTAAGTGAACACAGGCTTCAGATGACAGTAACACTAACCAAACGCTTTTACTGTAGGCGCTAATCCTTAACTGTACGCCTCTGTAACCTAGCAGTAATAGGATACCCGGTTGTTAAATGATTGGCGGGTCGTACTCCAGGGAATCTAATGGGTAAGGCTTACCATGAACCATGGGGCGGGAAAGCTCTCGGCCTGCTAACAGAAGTCGGAAGTCGTCTGTTCCTGTACCCCACCTGCGTTTAAAAAGTTATGAACGGAGGAAGAGTTCCCCTGAAGGAGGAGGAGGAAGAGGACTCACCTGCCTGCTCACCTGGCCCACCATGCCCGACCATGTCCCGTTCTCCAGCTTGGCCCCCCAAGTGCCGTCCGCCGGGGTCACAATGCGATACCTGAAGGAGTCCCAGACGCTTAATATTTCTATAGTCGTGACCCATATAAAATTTAACTGACTTAACGAACGATAGGGAGTATACTCCCCAATTGTAAACCCATTGAGAACCAGTTTTAAATTTATGAGTAAATCAGAGGTGTATTTGTAAACAAGTAAACAAGAACTGAATTTACCGTTCATAAACCAGCCCTGAATTTATCGCGAGAGAAGAGAACCAATTCTGAATCAGTGGTGAGAAAGTCAGTCTAGAATATATGTAAAGAAAACCAGGGCTGAAGTTGTGAGCCATAAGCCACAGAGTTCCTTCCTGCCTCACGTGAAGTTCAGGGAGCCAGCGACAGTGTCGAGGAGGAGAGCCATGGGACCTCCGACGGAGAGGCTGCCGGCGACGTCCTGGGACACCACGACGTGCGGAGGCCAGTGGACCGCTGACACCACCAGCGACGCCCCGCTGGGGAACCTGCAGCAGGAGGCATTATCACCCTCTTCGTCGACACTGTGCTTGATATGATGTACATCAACACTAAAGAGTTAACACATTACGGAACAGTCTCACAATAAAGCAGCATCTTAGATCAGAAAGGAATTACCTGTAGGTACCAGGGTGTTCCTGGAGACCTTGGACCACTTCAGGGTCCTGCAGCACTTCTCTCAGTGGTCGGGACATCACTCCTCAGCTTAGTAACACTGTGCTCAACCTCCGCACTGGTAACGCTGCTCTTTATCTCGTCACCCTAGTGATAAGACCTATCAGATGTAAGTCAGTATGAGAGCAAAGTAATGAGACGGTTGTCAGGATGACGAAGATGAGATAAAGATGCTGGAGGATGACGGGTGGTGGAAGGTGGGTGGTGGCAGAGACACTGAGAGTGCACAAGGAGATATATAAAGTATAGAGGAAGAGTGTGGGATGATCTGAGGAGGTACAGTTTACTGTAAACTTCATCAAGGCCCACCTCGAGGACCCCACCGAGTACTGTGTCACGTTATCATCAAAAGCTATCACAAGGCACCAACAACCCCTACCCCTCACCACAACTATTGCTACAACCATCACCTCTACCCTCACAAGTACCACTACCACCACTAACAACCACCATCACCACTACCTGAGACGTACTCTCCTCCACGGCCACACTCCCACTAGACCCCTCCAGTCACCACACTCTCCTCTTATCTCCAGGGCTGAGATGAACACCCCAGTGACGCGGGGTCGGTGAAGACCCATCTGGAATCACCAACAGTCCTGTATAATCCAGAGTCCTGCGTCTCCTCTAAACCATTCACGCATTCATCAATTCATTCATGGCGTATGCTACAGATGAGGTCAATACTGGCGCATTAGTGACCCACCAAAGCGACAGTGCTCCATCACACCGGCCATGCGGGTGTTGGCAAGTGTTTCTCGTAATAAACTTGGCTGTTCCGTTATTAACAGCTGGCGAAGGTCGCTCCCAGTCGACTCTCATTGTTATTTTGTGATTATCTGAGTTATTTATCTCTTGTATTTGGTCCCACATGTCGGGGCCACCTGTCAAGCAAGCCGCACCGGTCAACCAGGCCGCATGAAACACCTGTCAAGCAAGCCGCACCTGTCAACCAGGCCGCATGAAGCACCTGTCAACCAGGCCGCATGAAGCACCTGTCAACCAGGCCGCATGAAGCACCTGTCAACCAGGCCGCATGAAGCACCTGTCAACCAGGCCGCATGAAGCACCTGTCAACCAGGCCGCATGAAGCACCTGTCAACCAGGCCGCATGAAGCACCTGTCAACCAGGCCGCATGAATCGCCTGTCGGACAGGCCGCAGGAGGCACCTGTCAAGTAGACCGCAGGACGCACCTGTCCTTATGCACCATCAAACGCTTCTCCATGAGCCCACACCCTCATAACCCCCACTCATTAATGCCAGGATTAACTCACCTCAGTACAGTATTAATTAGCTTTACTTCTTAAAGTTCGTTAATTATAAAGTTGCAATTAGCGGTAGAAAATGTGGTCGTGAAATGCTAACGACGTCGATGGTGATCAGAGATGGTTAGACTGGCATGTGACACCAGGTGTTGCTCGCGCTTGTTAATAATGTAAGCCTCGCGGAGTGTGAGTGAGAGTGTGTGTGTGTGTGTGTGTGTGTGTGTGTGTGTGTGTGTGTGTGTGTGTGTGTGTGTGTGTGTGTGTGTGTGTGTGTGTGTGTGTGTGCGTGCGTGCGTGCGTGCGTGCGTGTGTTTTACACATCAATAAAAGTAACTAAAACAACAACAAACAGCTCAAAGATGTCTAAAAACCCATATCAATTAAAAGAATACACAATAAAATTCAACCAAAAAATAACAAAAGATAACACGTAATAACGACTAACGACCCCTTTGCCTTAGCCGACCGAAGGAGCAGAGGCCTGTGGGCAGTTCAACTCATTCTAGCAATTTGAGTCGATCCCAAGTTGTTGACGTCTAGACGAAAACAAATGGCCATCAGTGCAGATAACTCGCTGTGAATGATAAGGTTGACTCGCGTTTTCACAGTAGCCTCACACCGCGGTGGACGCAACTAGCCTAATCCTGTACGGTATGAGATGAGCTTTATGTTCCCAATTACGGTATTTAAGGAGTTAGCAACAAATAGTTTCAAAAATTAATAGTATTCATATCTGGTAAAAGATCTTTATAAGTGGAACTAAAAAATTTGCTAATATATATATATATATATATATATATATATATATATATATATATATATATATATATATATATATATATATATATATATATATATATATATATATAAAATTCTATCTGGCAATATAAAAACTTATTGGTCTAATTGGAAAATAGTGTTTATGACTTTTTGAAAAGCCATATAGCCATCCTGGTCTGGAACCAACTGCATGGTTCTCAGTATACATCTGTCTCCTATTTGACTTCTCATAAATCTTAAGAACTTTAATTTACCTTCAAATTTCAAGACAAGAGGAAGATATATGAGCCAATTAGTCAGAGATCATTCAGCTCACATGCTTAAAGTGATCTGAACTCTTCCTCAGATGACTTACAAAATAATGTGGTTCTTACTGCGGAAAGTCTCCAATTATCCTCAATTACACTAATTTCTCCTCAATTACACTCAATTGTCTTTAATGAGACACAAATCGTGGACGGTAAATCGTTTTGTAAGTGTAATTAGTTAAGTATTCCATATCACGAACACAAGCGCGAGATTGGTGTCTCGCGGATGACGCGTGCGGAGTTGGACTCCACTCCTGGAGGGTTATTAAGGCCTCCACAATACCTTATACTCCACCAACAAGTAAGTTTAAGTCTAAACAAAGTTCAAGGCTACAGTAAACTCGGTGTATGTATACTGTGTATACATACGTCCAGTGGGATGGGGGGGAGGGAGGAGTAATCAGCATTTGGCCAATGCTCCGGTTGAGGATGGGATGAGTTGAGGATGGATTGCAATCATCACACAGGGAAAAAAATTTGTGAAAATAATTGGAAAATAAATTTGCAGGAGGGAATTCTTTAATGTTTCAAGAAATTCCTGTGATGCGGCAATATTTACTGAACAAAAAAGCTTAACGTAGCTAATTTTTGTTTAAGTTTAATGGCAGGAAATCATCTAAACTCTCACCCTCATTAAACAACAAATATTTGAATTTGCTTTATACGTTCACAATTTTGTTTATCAAATTTCGTTAATCTCTGAAAGCAATTCCCCCTTCCCATGTGAACTGCTTCACATTCCTTGACCTGCAGAGTGCGCGTGACCTCTGCTCCAACGTCTTGGAGAATGTCACATAATTTACACCGACATTCCATCGTGATTATCCAAAATTATCTCAAGATTTACCGAGGAGTTTAGTGGCTCGTTAAGTTCCCCGGTGGATGCGATCATTCTTACAATCTTCTGTGATAATCTTCTGAGGCAAAGCCACCTGTGGTGGTGGTGGTGGTGGTGGTGATGGTGGTGGTGGTGGTGGTGGTGGTGGTGGTGGTGCTGGTGGTGGTGGTGGTGGTGATGCTGGTGGTGGTGGTGGTGGTGGTGGTGATGCTGGTGGTGGTGGTGTTGGTTGTGATGGTGGTGGTGGTGGTGGTGGTGGTGGTGATGGTGGTGGTGCTGGTGGTGGTGGTGATGCTGCTGCTGGTGGTGGTGGTGATGCTGCTGGTGGTGGTGGTGATGCTGCTGGTGGTGTTGGTTGTGATGGTGGTGGTGGTGGTGGTGGTGGTGGTGGTGGTGGTGGTGGTGGTGGTGATGGTGGTGATGGTGGTGGTGATGGTGGTGGTGATGGTGGTGGTGATGCTGGTGGTGGTGGTGGTGATGCTGGTGGTGATGCTGGTGGTGATGGTGGTGGTGATGGTGGTAGTGATGGTGGTGGTGATGCTGGTGGTGGTGGTGTTGGTGATGCTAGTGGTGATGGTGGGTTGCAATATAAATGGCGAGAAATATAAAGTGAGTTAGAGAGAGAGGTAGGTAGAGTAAGAGAGAGAAAGAGAGGGGTTAGGTAAAGAGGAGGGGAAGAGCAAGATAAATAATACTAATATGTATCAACGCCATTTAATATTATCTAACAATAACTATTAGATATTATCATGTTCTTAATATAATATTAAATCAAATAAATCAATTGGATTTTTTTAGAAATTAAAAAAAATCTCTACTAGGCAAATTGGGCATTGCATATATATATATATATATATATATATATATATATATATATATATATATATATATATATATATATATATATATATATATATATATATATATATATATATATATAATATAATCCACACTAGTTTATTTTGGCTAGGCTAACACAACTGTCCTGTAAACTAACAACACACTATAATGAGCAGCAAAAAAAAATAATAATAAAACATTTAAATATAAAAAACTATTATTTAAAATACACAAAAATTTGAATGTTTTTTAATATCTTACTAATAATGATCAAATGTATCTCTTTTATATGAAATATATTGCACCAATATACGGAATTTGAACCCCTATAAGAGGGACAGATATACTTTTTATCCTGAAGTCTCCTTCTCTCCTTATATACAAAATATGAATGTTATCTCTGACCTAATTTTCTTCTCTGTAAATGAGATTTAACATTCTTACTTTTTATTTATTTCAGACTTAAGAAAACTTTATACAATTTCTATTTTGACTATTGATGTTAAATGACATTTCCAAGATCAATGAACTATTTACTGTAGGATCAGGTGACTGTTTGCTGTATTATCAGGTGATTGTTTACTGTAGGATCAGGTGACTGTTTACTGTTGGAACAGGTAACTGTTACTGTAGGATCAGGTGACTGTTTACTGTAGGATCAGGTGACTGTTTACTGTAGGATCAGGTGACTGTTTACTGTAGGATCAGGTGACTGTTTACTGTAGGATCAGGTGACTGTTTACTGTTGGATCAGGTAACTGTTTACTGTTGGATCAGGTGACTGTTACTGTAGGATCAGGTAACTGTTTACTGTAGGATCAGGTGACTGTTACTGTAGGATCAGGTAACTGTTTACTGTTGGATCAGGTGACTGTTACTGTAGGATCAAGTGACTGTTACTGTAGGATCAGGTAACTGTTTACTGTAGGATCAAGTGACTGTTACTGTAGGATCAGGTAACTGTTAACTGTTGTGGGGGGGGAAATTCTGACTCGTGGGAATTAATTTATTATAATTAATTGATTAATTTAATGTAGTTAATTTATGGTGT